GATTCTACCAAGGAATGAGAAGACAAGAAGTCTGGAGGGCGATTCCACCAGTGAAGAGACATAGGACAGTATGGCTCCTAGCATGAGCTCTTCTTCCTTATCTGAGTTTTCTTTTTTGGGGGGAGGGGGTCCAGTTGTGGGGCCTGAACTCTGGGCCTGGGCACTGTCCCTCAGCTCTTCAGCTCAAGGCTAGCACTCTACCACTTGAGCCACAGCACCACTTCCGGCTTTTTTCTTTTTTCTTTTTTCTTTTTTCTTTTTGCTTATGTGGTGCTGTGGAATCGAACCCTGGAATCGATTCCTGAGTCCCTGCCAAGCCCTGCTCTCAGGGTATATACTATCTCTTCTTGGCCTAAGAATGAAGATTCTTTTCTTTGTGTGTAAGTTCCAGCTGAGTCAGGCTGATATTTCAAGAAGAGCTTGAAGAAAAACAAAAAGGAAATCATTATAGAAACTATAAACAGCATAAAAGTCGTCATGTCCAAAGTACAGGTTTTAGATTCTGAGAATCCCGTTAAAACCAGTGAGATCTCACTGAGTTCCACATTCCTTGATCCCAAGAAAAATCCAGGCTTAATCATGCTAGCATAACTTAGCTGCGCCCTGGGCTTGCCCCTTCCCTCCGGTTCTGCCTGGCTCAGGCCAACTCAGGTCACCCAGTCATCTCAGCCCAGTGTTCCCCCTTCACAAGTCAACCCAAACCCTCCCCAAATCATAGTTTCTTTTCTGGGTTTACCCCTCGTCTTACTAAGCTGTCTCCCCACAAAAACCACACACTAAAAAGGGTTCACGTTTTTAGTTTGTTGTCCTGGGTAGTGGATCACCTATAAACACCCACAAATGAACATTGAGACTTTCATCTTCACCTATCCAAAGAGTCTTCACCAAATGTTTAGATTCTTCCAACACACATGTCAACAAATGAACAAACAAATGAATTTCCTCCAATCTACATTATGAGTAACATTTGTTTTTCTTCTTACAATAATTAACTTTTCCCTTCCTTCAAAATAGTTAATCCACCTGGGTGTTGGGCCAGAAGAAATGCTGGAAGAAAAAGCCAAGGATGTTCTTTCATATTAGTGAAAGGAACACATTTACAAAAAGCCATTTGCAAATAAGAATTAACAGCAGGTTGCTTTCAAGTGAATGATTGCAGTCACAAGGAATGAGGTTCCAGCTGAGATTCTGTCTACTATGCGTGCAGAGAGAAACTAGGAATAATTCTCACTCAGATGAGACTAAAAAGCAGCCTCTTATGGATTTGGTTGTCAACTAAAGTCTTGATTGGTAGGAAGTCACAACGACTAGGGCAATAAATAAATAATCATACACATATATATGTACATATAATATGGAGGGAAGATATATGTGGGAAATGTGTGTGTGTGTGTGTGTGTGTGTGTGTGTGTGTGTGTGTGTGTGTGTAATATATACAGTCAGGACTGGTGGAAGTCCAGTTATTACTACAACAGGGAAAGTCAGAGAATCAAAACTGGGCAGACTGGGGCTTAAATGCTGCTGGCAGAGGAGGTCAGACGTGTAGCTTACTGGTAGACGCTTGCTCAATACGCTTGAATCCTTGCCTTGATGCCCGCACCGGGGCGGGGAGTGGCACCTGCAACCTCGGTGAATCTTGGCCCGTCCGGTCGCCGTCGTTGCCCTAGGATACCGGAAGACGCTGTGTGCTGCGCGTCCCGTATCTATGGAGACGAAAACATGGCGATGGTGTGCGTTCTTGGCGTTGGTCTGGGTCCCCGGGAACGGCCGGAGTGATTGGAGAAGGTCTCCGTACCGAAAGGGACGGCCTGGGGTCGCCTCCGTGCGCTGCAGAGAGCCTCGTGAGACTGAGATTTGGGCAAGATTAACCAGACCGGGCAACCGGAAGCCGAGGCGGGAGCGGCGCTGAGCAGACGCTGTTGTTTGGTTTTTATCTATTTCTTGTTCCGCTCGGCAGGGTCCCTTCCCCCGCTTCCCCCTCGACCGCACGCACACTTCTCCTACTGGTCATTTTGGGAACGTTGGTTGACTGAAATCAGGCAGATAAAGGAAGCCTGAAGCTTGCCTGTGTCCAGAGAGTTTGGGGAGAGGCCGGAGCCTTGCTTTCCTTGGCCCCTTTGGACAGTGCTCGCTCTCCTCTGTAAGCCCAAGCTGGACCAGCGTTCTTCTCTGTATTGGGGGCGGGGGGGGGGGGGGGTAGTTTGTGCTGAGTGGAGATTTTCAAAACTCTCTGTAGAATCCCCTGAAGTCAACAGTGAATGGGACAGGACTGCAAAGCCACCCCATGACAGAAAAGTAATGACACTTTATCTTCCTTGCCTCCCAGCTTGCAGTTAAAAAAAAAAAAAATCCACCAGAACATCGACAAAGCCATTGACCAAGGCTGTTTTGTCCTGTAGGCACTTATTAAAAAGTGCTTTATGAATGGATGAATAAGTGAGTAAAACCTAAAATAGTCTTGTTCAGTGTTTTGAGACTGTTTCAGAACTCTAAGTTAACAAAATCTTTTTGTTTTGGATGGGTACCAGGGAGGAAGTAGTCTAGGGTATAAATTCCTAAGAGTAATTACAATTTTTTTGGTGCTAATACTGTGGCTTTTACTCAGGGCCTTGCACTCTTGCTTGTCTTTTTTTTTTCTCAAGGCTGGCACTCTGCCATTCGAGCCACATCTCCACTTTCAGCCTTTTGCTGGTTCATTGGAGCTAAGAGTCTCATGAACTTTTCTGCTCAGGCTGGCTTCAAATCATGATCCTCAGATTTTAAGTCTCCTGAATAGCTAGGATTACAGGTGTGAGTCACCAGCACAGGATTTTAAAATTTTGCTTATTAAATTAAAGTACATTATAACAAGGAATTTAACTACAAACTTGAAAAGGCAAACTAAAATAAAAAGCAAGTCCTATGCAATGCAAACTGTTGTAAGAACTAAGGTCCTAATAACATACATATGATACATAAATTCTCACAGATCAGCAAAAATTGATACCCTTTTTGAGATTGCTATTGGAAGAAGTGGAAAAAGATACCAAATAGTCTGAAAATATTCTTGTGTTCAAAAAATGTGTTGGAGTACTAGACAAATGTAGCTGATGAGCTGCATTTGGTCAGTAGAAATAGGTCATCTGGGCTGGGGGGAATGGCTCATGCTTATAATAGAGCTACACTGGAAGCACAGATTAAGAGAATCACAGTGCAAGGCAAAATAGTTAGCAAGACTCCATCTCAACAATAGTCTGAGCATGGCAGTATGTATCTGTGGCCCTAGCTATGCAGGAGGTTGTAGGTAGGAAGATGATGGCCCCAGGAAAAAATGAAAGATCTTCTCCAAAAAGTAACCTTAAAGCAAAAAAAAAAAAAAAAAAAAGTGGCAGAGATCTTGCCTTGCAAGTTTAGGCCCTGTGTACAAACCCCAGTATCCACCAAAAAGGTGGACCATCTGAATTGAGATACTCTAGAAGTGAACAATGCTACCAGATTTCACAGCACAAAACAATCGTGTAATGTTTCTTAATAGTTTTATATCACATTAGGTGATAGTAGTCTATATAGTGGGTTAAATGAAATATATTTCACCTATTTCTTTTTGCTCTGAGTGTGTGTGTGTGTGTGAGAGAGAGAGAGAGAGAGAGAGAGAGAGAGAGAGAGAGAGAGAGAGGGGAAGGGAGAGGGAGGGAGGAGGGAGAGGAGGAGAGAGAGTGGGGAGAGGAAGAATGGGAGAGGGAGAGGGAGATTCTAGTCCTGGGGCTTTAAGTCAGGGCCTGGGCAGTGTCACTGAGTTTTTGTGCTCGTGACTAGCACTCTACCACTTGAGCCACAGTTCCATTTTTGGCTTTTTGGTGGTTAATTAGAGATAAGAGTCTCATGGGCTTTCCTGCCTGAGCTGGCTTCAAACCACAATCCTCAGATCTCAGCCTCTGGAGTAGCTTGGACTACAAGCGTGAGCCACTGGTACTGGGCTTCTTTTTGCCTGTTTATGGCTTCTAGAATGAATTACACTTGTGGCTTTCATTATAGTTTGAAGGACAAAGTCATGTGTATGTGTCAAAGGATTTTTATGATGATGCTGATTGTAAAGAGTAACTCAAGCCGAGTGTTAACGGTGGATCAGCATAGAGATCTGAAAATCATGTACTCAATCTTGCATCTGAGCTGGCCATAGTTAAAAGTGCCTGAATGTAGAAGTTGATACCTTTTGCCTAGGTTCCAAAGGCACACCTGAAGAAACCAGCTAAAGGAACAGCTAAAGGAACTTAGAGGTGATAGATCTAGAGCCTAAGACACTTTGTGTCCCTGTCACCCCTTTGAACATTGGGAGAAAGCTATGGGTGTTCTGACAGATAGCATCTGTGTAATATGCGTGACACACTGCATATAGTTTCCATGTGATAGTTCTATACACTTGTATAGAATTTTCAGCTGAAGTCTACCCAGGGACCACTTTGCTCTAGAGATTCAGTCATTTATCCTCTAACTAAATCATTATTTCAAGTGAATATTTACTTTATATATGGTCTGCAGGTGCTGGTAGAGGAAACCCAGAAAACCAAGACCCCAGCAGTCTCATTCATCCCCCCTTATTCGTCTTTCAGCAGGCAAGATCTGTTCTAAGGAAACAGGTAGAGAGTAAAATCCAGCTTAACAGTAATATATGTTCCCCTGCTGAGGGTTTGATGGGGTCAGGTGTGGCCAAGGAAGGGCATGGTTGGGTAAGTCTTATTCCAAACTCCTCCTTCAAGTGCCTTTCCTGAGTAGTGAGTCACTAGGCCCTCAGGTAAAGTCCTAGGTTTTATTTCCAGCCACATTTACCATGGGGCCACCTCATACCTCTTGCCAGAGCCAGAGAATAGGCTCTTAGCTCCATCTCCACATTAGTCATGGTGAGTCTCCCCAAGGATCTTCCTTTTTCATCCCCTCTGGCCTCCTCCCAGCTCCCAACTCATAGCTGGATCTGCCAGGAACTTGTAGCTTAATTAAAATGTTGTTTATGTTCCAGGTGCACAATGCTCACCCAGTCAAGCCCCAGCCCTGTCACTAAGTTCAAGGAAAGTGGCGACTGCACTGTCAACTCCGGTGGATCCTTTGTGAGTGCCAGCACGATGGCTGGCCCCACCATCAATGACAGCAGTATAAGTCCAAGTGTCTGCAGTAGCAGCATCAGTGCGCAGGTGAGGACCTGCCCAGGGCAGTGGAGCACAACAGGGCGGGGCAGTGCTGGAGCATGAGGTGTGAAACTGAGGGACCTGGCTTTCTGTGCACACACCAGCATCAGAGCCTGCTTAGACAAAGTACCAAAAAAATGGAATGGTGGTAGATTTGATCGTGCAATAGAGATGCTGTGGGAAGAGCGTTCCAGGGAGCTGGACCAAAGTGGAGGCTGGCTGAGTGGCCAGTGTTTCTCTCTTCACTTAAGAAGCTTTTTCGGCCTTGACTCGTAGGACTATGTGTTTAATCACAGTGTGGATGCTGATGACCTTTTGTAATTCTGTAGCTCTTGGTGTGTAGCAGTGTTAATGTCTAGGGTTGTGACTGTGAGGTATGACCTTGTGTCTGGTGTGGTGTGTATGAGAATGGCACCTGTCCCCTCCGATGTGATGTTGTTTCATTCATCTTCCTTTGGACTGGGGTCCATGGGAGGCATCTTGCCTTCCATCTATGCCATTTGGATTCACTTGCTTGCCCTTCCTGTTCTGTGATGAGCTGAGAGGAGACTGGAAAGTGAGAGGAAGAGAGAAGCCATGGCCTGTATCTATTTCTCTCTGTGTTTGATGGAGTCTATATCAGCGGCTATCTCCCCCCAGGTTCCTGTTCCTACCAGACAGGCTATAGGGCTACAATAATCCCCCTACTTCCCCTCACCTGATCACTGCTCAGTGCTGCTAACCCCTAGGTTCCTTCACTGCCCTTATTTGTGAATTATACTCCATGTTCTAAGCACCAGGGTAGCTGATGCAATTGATATTTACAGTAAGTTATCCTCCTACATGTGTTACCTTTCCTCCATGCATCGTCCAGGAAAGGAAATAGAGTATTTGGCCATAAATATGGTCATTCTGTATTGAATGTTGAAACTTAAAGTGGGAGTTCCAAGAGAATGGATTTGTGGGTCTTAGTCCCAGCACTTCACACAGTGTCTGGTGCATGACAGTCAACAAATATTTGTGCTATATAACAACAGATGAGCAATACTTGGTAAAGATAAAGTGGCAATGAGTTGAGTGTTCATAAAAATGGCACGGTAATCTGGGAACCAGCACCAGTGGCTTATGCTTATGATCCTAGCCACTTTGGAGGCTGAGAGAGGAGCACTTCTGTTCAAGGCTAGCCTGAGCAGAAAAGTTCACGAGACCCCGTATCATTCCCCAGCAGGGAGGGGTGTTGTTCTTCATGACGTGCTGAAGACAGGGATGGTGATAGACAGATCTTTCCATGTTTTCTGGGTCTTTGCATCCTACTAATGCAGCCTTCCTTCACCCTGCCCAATGAACAGCCTACTACCTCCATAGACATTCAAAAGTGCGGTCCAAAGAAGCTGGAAAGAGTGATCAAGAGGATTTTCTGGGGCATTGAGGTAGCTGAGGAGCTGAAGTGGAAAGACTGGGATCTGGGAAAGGAGACCACAAGGAACCTGATCCTGAAAAATCTCTCCATGAAGATCCAGAGGATGAAGTACAGGTACGAGAATGAGGGAGAGGAAACCCAACCCCTGAGCCCTCAGGCCTGAAGCAGGTTCTGTAAACCAAACTTAAAAGTACCATATAAAGTCAGATGAATGCTCACAATGTGTAATTTGAGGAAGTCTACCAAAAGGTCCTTGTGTGACTGGATTCATTCGTGGAATAATGACAGAATCTAAAGTCTTCCTTCTGCCACCTAGGTACTCCCTTCATAGACACAGCCTTTTTACCCACAGATGGTAAAAGAGCCCTTTTATGTAAGACTTTCTTGCTTTTCTCAAATAGATCTACCACCTGTGTCAGTGTCCCTTAATAATATACTTTCTTATGAATTTTATGTAAATAGAAGAATGTGGCATACTTTTTGTGTTGATACAGGGGTTTGAACTCAGAGCCTTGAGCTCTTGCTTGGATGTTGCTCTATCATTTGAGTCATGCCTCTAGTTTATGGTGTTCTACCACTTGAGTCTTGCCTCCAGTTCTGGTTTTTTACTGGTTGACTACAGGTAGGAGTCTCTCAGATCTGCCCAGCCTGCCTAAGCTGGCTTCAAACTGAGCTCTTCAGATCTCTGCCTCCTAAGTAGCTAAGATAATAGGTATGAGCCACCAGCACCCAGCTAGAATGTAAATGTAGAATGTACTTTTGTAATTTATTTTGCTCAGTTATGTCTATAAAACATATCCATGGGTATCTATGGGCATCTGTCTCCTCTTGTTATAGGGCAGTGTGTGCCCATGACATAGCCAGGCATTCTTCTATGGAAGGATATTTGGGTTGTTTCAAGACTGAGATTGTTCCCAGAAGTTAGGTGAAAGTCTTGTGATGCACAAATACAAGTGTTTTTCTGGAGTTTAGATATGGAGGAGAATTGAAGTTTAGGATATGTACATGTTTTTTGCATATAAAGTTAAACTGTTTTCTGAAGTACAAAGATAGAATCTGTTTATATTCCCCCTCAAGCCTGTGAGAATTTCCGTTCTTCTATACCCTTACCAATAAGTGATATTGTCTGGAATTTTCCTAATAGTAACTTGTGACTTCAATTTACATCTCCTTGATCCCTAATTACTGATTAATGAGGCTGAGCATCTTTGCATAGGTTATTAACCATTTGCATTTCCTAATTTTTGAAATTGATGTTGGAGTCTGCGCCCATTTTTTCATCCCTCCCTCTCCTCCTCCTTTCCTCCCTTTCCTTCTCTTCTTCCCTTTTTTTTCTTCTTTCCTTTTTTTCTTTCTTTCCTTTCTTTGCCAGTACTGGCGTTTGAACTTAGGGCCTATATTTGCTATGCAAGAGCTCTGCCGCTGGAGCCTCACCACCTGTGCCCTGTGCCCATTTTTCTATTAGATTAGTTCTTCTTTGCCTTTGTCGTCCTCACTTTTTGTCTGAGTTCTCATCCTGGATACTAACACTCACTCTGTTAAGTGTTAGGACTGTCTTGTCCCACCAAGTGACCTTTCCTTTCTTTATTGTGTCTTTTGAAGAATAGAAGTTTTTAATTTCAAAGGAATCAAAGTTATCCATAATTTTTCTTTTATGGTTGGTGTTTTGTACTTTGCTTAAGAAGTCCTTCTGTGCCTCTTGATCCTGGAGATATTTTCCTATAGTATTTTTTTTTGCGGGGGGGGTCCGGTCGTGGGGCCTGAACTCTGGGCTTGGGTGCTGTCCCTCAGCTCTTCAGCTCAAGGCTAGCACTCTACCACTTGAGCTACAGCACTACTTCCGGCTTTTTTCTTTTTGCTTATGTGGTGCTGAGGAATCGAACTCAGGGCCTCAGGCATGCAAGGCAAGCGCTCTACCACTGAGCCACCTTCCTAGCCCTCCTATAGTATTTTCTAGAGACTTCATAGTTGTGCCTTTTGTATTTGTCTTTGATCTAAATGGGATTGATTTTTGTGAATGGCTTGGTACCTGATGACATATTTTTCCTCCATTAACTAATGATCTCCACAGCATTTCTTGAAAAGCTCATGCTTTCTCTGATGATCTCCATGCCACTGGCATGTATCAAATGTCTTGCTACATACAGGTCCATATTTGGACTCTTGTTTTATTCCCTTGTATCAGGCTAATACAAGCCTGAGTTATTAACGCTTGTAGTAAATCTTGATATCTTATAGTGTAAGTCTTAACCCCTTCCTTCTTCAAGATTGTCTTAGCTAATCTTAATCCTTTGAACTTTTATATATATCTTCAAACAATGTAAAAAAATTGTGATTTGTATTGGCATTTAATCAAATCTATAGATCAATTTTGGGGAGAACTGACATTACAACACTGAGTCTTTTAATCCATGAAGGCAGTGTAATATTTCTTAATAAGTTATAGTGTGTGTGTGTGTGTGAGAAAGAGAGAGAGAGAGAGAGAGCAAGCACACACTGGTACTTGTACTAGAGCTTGAACTCAAAACCAGGGTTCTCCCTTAACTCAAGGATGGCACTTTACCACTTGAGCCCAGCTCCACTTTTGTCTTTTCACTGGTTAATTGGAGATAAGAGTCTCATAGACTTTTCTGCCCAGGCTAGCTTACTTTGAACTGTGATCCTCAGATCTCAGCCTCCTGAGTAGCTAGGATTACAGTTGTGAGCCACTCGTGCCTGACTTGTTTTTGTTGCTGGTTTTTTTCTTCTTTTCTGTAGACAGCATGCACAGTTTTTAGCCTATTTCTAAGAATTTTCTTTTCTTTGGGCATGCTTAGGTTTTGAACTCAGGGCCATGTATATTATAAGGCAGCTATTCTTACCAGTGAACCATGCCTCTAGTGCTTTTCTGTGCTGGTTATTTTTTAGATAGAGTCTCACTTTCTGCCTAGTGACCCACAATTTGCATGTTAGGCCTCTCTTCATAGCTAGGAAAACAGGCAAGTGCTACTGTACTCACCTCTCAGTTAAGAAGAGGTTCCAGGACTTTTATGCCTGAGCTGACTTTGAACCACAATCCCTCTAATTTTAGCCTTCCAAGTAGCTAAGACTACAGGTATGAACCACTGATGCCCAGCTCATTATTCAGTGTATATATATATACACACACACATACACACACACACACACACAGGCATGTATATTTGTGTGTATGTATATGTGATTATGTATTGTGTAAGTGAGACAGTGCTGTATTAGATAGTCCAGATTGGCCTCAAGCTCAAAATCCTACTTCTGCCTTCCAAGTTCTAGGATTACAGACATGCAGCAGTACACCTATATCTTAAAGTTGTTTTCATTTCTTGTTTGTGGCTTTTTTAAAACAGTACTAAGGGCTGAACCCAGGGTTTTTTGCTTGTTAAGGAAGCATTCTACCACTTGAGGTACTACCCCCAATCCTAGCTTTTTGAACATTATTAATTCTCATATGACTATTGTGTCTAGCAACCTTGATAAAGCCTCTTATTAAGTCTGATAATTTTACTATTTCTTTTCTTTTTTCCATATGCACATTTGTATTTTATGTAGAAAATGGCATTTTCCCCTTTCTTCCTTTCCAATTCTTACATCATGTTTTGTCTTTCCATTCTCTACTGTTAAATACGAAAGTGCTGAGCAGAGTAGTATAAAAGATCTCCTTGTTTTCTTCTTGTCTCAAAGCAGAAGATTCCAAAGTTTCGCCACCAAACTGGAGGTTTCCTGGTGGGTTACTGTTGCTGTGTTCTGGTTTGTGTTGTAGATTTTTTATCAGATTAAGGATATCTTTCTATTTTCTTCTTTTCTCTTTTTTATTAGCATAAACTAACTACACAATGGATATCATTGTATTATTAACAACATGCCTATAATATGCTTTGATCAAATTCACCCTGTTTACATAATTCTTAGGGACCTTTTTTCTCTTCCTGTTCTGCTGACAGGTTTTCTTATCATCATATGTTGAAATGTATCTAATATTTTTATTGAGGTTATCATTTGGGTTTCCTCTCCCTCTTAGTATTATAGCTTGTGTTAACTGACCTACCTACCTTCCCCTTTTGTGTGTGCCGGTATTGGGGCTTGAACTCAGGGTCTGGGCACTGTGCCTTAACTTTTTCTGCTCAAAGCGCTCTCCCCCTCCTCTTTTCTGTAGGCCTCCCAGGACCAAGTTCTTCTTCACGGCCATCCCTCAGCCCATCTTCCTGAGCCCAGGCATCACCCTCACAATCCCCATCGTCTTCCGGCCTCTGGAGAAGGTGAGGCCTGCCAGACAAGTAGTGGAGGGTCAGGAACAGGACTGAGGGCCAAGCAACAAGGAGCTCCCTTCACACACATCCCACCAGCCAGAGCAAACACTTCAGTTTGCAAAGTCCTCAAGAGGACTCGCTATCATTATACATGAGTGTTCCCCATTGGATGCTGGGTTAAAAGCTGTAGTACTGTGCTAGCTTTCAAATTTCTTGGCCTCTTTTGTTCCCTACAAATGTCAAGATTCTCTATAAAACTTTTTTTTGAAATGCACTATGTTGAATCATAATCTATGTTGTGAAGCTGGTCTCAAACCTCTAGGCTTAAGTGATCTTCCTGTCTCAGCCTCCTGAGTAGCTAGAATGACAAACTTACCAGCATATCTAACTCCTCAAAATTCTTTGCTCCCTGAAAAGCAGGCTGTAGTCTCTGAGACCTGAACAGTCTAGGAGCACAGGAAGTGGAATCTCTCCTCACACTGATATGGTGGGCTGTTGCCCAGCCCTCTCCCCAAAAGTTTTGTTAAAGAGGGATGGCTTACAATGGGTGGCGTGGGTTGTCTCTCGAGGACCACTGTTCAGTGACTGCTTCTCCCCTTTTCATCCGGCCATTGCAGAAGGAATACATGGACCAGATGTGGTTTGAGAAAGAGGAGGGGATATTCCCTGTGTGTCTGAGGGCCATCTTGCCTTGCCACAAGCTAGTTTGCCCATCATCTCTACACCTGCCCATGTGTGCCATTGGGGACACAGTTGAAGCCTGGTTCTGCCTGGAGAATGTGGGGTAAGGGAAGAGGTTGAGGCTCAGAGGTGGCAAGAGCAAGTCCTGGGAGGAGAGAAGATGGGTACCTCCTAGTGGGAAGCAGAGAGGCCACCCAGAGCCTCAACCTTGCTCAGACAGTAGCAATCATAAGGAAAAGCACAGTGGCAGTGACCTGCCTCTTGCCCACCCTCTCAGGGACCTGCCTACCTTCTTCACCTGGGAGCTCCCCAGCCCATTCCAGATCTTCCCTGTCACGGGATTACTGGAGCCAGGCTTGGCCTGTAAGATGAAAGTGACCTTTCAGCCCCTCGTAGCTGTCATCCATGAAGTTGAGGCCACGTGCTGCTATGGAAAGGACTGCAAGCAGAAGAGCAGCATCCAGATTCGGGGTGTAGGTGAGGCCTGTCTTCCTATCTGTCCTCAGCACCAGCTGCTGCCCCTACCTGGGTCTCAAGGCCTCAGGCTACCTCCCATCTCCCACATGGGCTTGGCTCCTGCTGGCTTCCACCAGTCCATCTTTCCTCCAGCGCTTGGGCTTTTTCTTTGACGGCATCAGATTTTCCTTCCTAGAATATGTGCCTTCTAAGGACTGTTCAGCTGAAGCCACATAGACCCCAGTGCGTTCCTCACCAGACTCCCCATCTCTGTTCCAGGCAAATGTGCTCAGCTGCTGGTGAGCATCAGACGCAAGCGATCAGAAGACAAAGATATAGAGGGCCTCCAGAAAGTGTTGCACTTTGGCCCTGTCTCTGTGGGCTGCATCGCTGAGAGACAGATCAAACTGTATAACCCATCTGCAGTATGTACAGGGCCAGAGATAATGGAGTGGGGGGGGGGCGAGGAGAGACAGGACTCAGGAACCCCAGGTCTGGGTACCCTTATAATCCATTTCCAGTGCTCTCCATCCCTCTGATCCCAAGCTTTACATAGTAATGACTGTTGATGCACATGTGTCAACATCTCTCAACAGGAGTTCCTCTCAGCTGGGGCTAGGCCTAGGTATCTGCAGGTCCCCTGGAGAAATCCCTTAAGCAGCCCCAAGCATCCTGATCCCACAACCACCGTAGCTAGCTCTGATAGTACCTTTGGGAAAAGGAAACAGTGCTCCCTTTGGGCCTGGCCTGGCCTACTCTTCTGGTGAAGCAGCTGTACCTCACAGGCAGAGCAGCCAGTGGGCCCAGCCTGACTGCCATCTGTCCCTTATCCCCTCGCTGGCATGCTTGGTACAGTGCCTAGACTGCCTAACCCTGAGTGCTGGCCCTTTGCCCCCTACGACCTTGCCCCACAGGTAAATGCTCCCTTCCGGATTGAAATGGTCCCAGATGTTCTGTTCAAAGACCAGGCGTTCTCCTGCTCCAAGAGTTATGGCATTGTACCCCCACGAGAGAAGAAATGTGTGTCTCTGTTCTTCCATCCCAAGACTGTGGACAGTAAAACTGTGGAATATTTCTCCATCCTACCTGCTGGATGTGCTTCCCAAACTCTGCTCCAAGTCATTGGTTTATGTAAAGGTACTGACAATCCCAGGAGGCTGCACTCCCTAGTCTGCTCCCTCCTAAGAGGCATTGCCTCTTGTCTTCTCAGCCTGGGTGTCTGCTGCCCCCTGGTGGCCCACGGAGGAAGCATTGTGGATACCGAGGGATATCTTTTTCCATGACTCTAGATTGAAGGGGCTTTGGGCCTACCCAGTCTGGTTGTGTCTCCAGCTAGCACCACCTCCTAAGCAGGGAGAACCTTCCTGAGACATCCTCTAGAAAGCTGATAACCAGTTAAGTGGCCTCAGGACCCACTTACTCACAGAGACCCGTCTCCTATGCCCAGGTCCTGCTGTGTCCTTTCAGCACTCCTGTGTCAATTTCAGCTGGGTCATACTTGGAGAACGCTCAGAGCAGACCCTGTGGATTGAGAACCAGTCACGTTGCTTGGCCCACTTTCAATTTATCATTGACTGCCAGGAGAGTGTGTTCAGTATCAGCCCTGCCTTTGGGACCCTGATGGGCAAGGTCCGCATGACCCTGCACTGTGCCTTCCAGCCCACTCACCCCAACATCTACTTTCGACGGGTGGCCTGTCTTATCCACCACCAGGTGAGTAGTGGGTGAGGAGGGGCCTCTGTCTTATAGGGGGGAGGAAGGGCAATCTGAGACCAGTGATGAAGACACAACTTAGTGGGTTCTCTCCTGTATTCTGGAACTTCTAAGCCTGTCTACCTGGGTCAGCTCCTCCTTCAGGACCCCAGCCCAGGCTATGGGAGGCACACATGAGGGTTCACGCTGAGCTAGGTGAACCTGTTAAGCTTTTCCTGACTACTGCCAGGTCAGCAGCTTTGCTATTTCCTATTGCTTTGCTACTGCTATTGCCATTGGACTGGGATGAGGAGGTTTGGATGTCACTCCATACCATGCATGCCGAACAGAGGGATCTCAATTTAGACCCCAAACCCAAATCCTTGGGCACGTGGTGTGTGGACCTATGGGTTTCTGTGCATAATGGCAAGTGTGACCAAAGTATAGCTGCCACTCAAAAATTGGAAGTGGCACTGTGGCTCAAGTGGTAGAATGCTAGCCTTGAGCACAAAAAGATTCAAGGACAGCATCCAGACCCTGAGTTCAAGCCCCACAGCTGACAAATAAACAAAATTCTCGAGTAGCCAGGCGCTGGTGGCTTATGCCTGTAATACTAGCTACTTAGGAGATCTAAGGATTGCCATTCAAAGAAAGCCCAGGCAGGAAAGTCTGTGCGACTCTTATCTCTAATTAATCACCAGAAAACGAGAAATGGCGCTGTGGCTCAAAAATGGTAGAGCACTAGCCTTGAGCAAAAGATCTCTAGGGACAGCGCCCAGGCCCCTGAGTTCAAGCCCCACAACTGAAAAAAATAATTCTCATGCAGATACAATATGAGCTTTGGAATAGATGAACAGAACACAGCCAGTTTCTGCTCCCTGCCCGCCTCCCCTCCCCCCCCAAAAAGCCAGAAATGCTTGTCATATAGACTCCTGGCTGGCAGCAGGATAAGCAGTAAAATACCTTAGGAACCCATAGATTGTGTAGGGACAGACAGACAGTAGCTGAGCATCCCATTTGGAGGGCTTGAGTGCTCTACTCCTGCCTTATCCTGGACTTTTGCTGATTCTTGAGCCAACCAGCAGCTATCAGAATGTTCCTTCCACCTGCAACTTCTGCAGTTCAATCCTTAGCACTTTCTTGTTCCACCATCTTTTCTGTGCCCTGTCACACATGGAAAATGTCATAGGATCCACTGTTCCTGGACCTGATTGGGACCTGCCATTCAGACCGCATCAAGCCAGTCATCCTGAAGCCTCGGCATCTCACCTGGTACCGTACCCACCAGACTCGAGGCCTGATATCCTACCCTCCTGACATCCTGACTGCCATGCTAAGGGAGAAGAAGCTAGAACAGGATCCAAATGGGGCCCTCATGGTGTCCCGTGAGGTACTGTGGATCCCTTTGGGCCTCAGACACTCCAAGTTTCTCTGGAACATGCTATCCTCTCTAATCCTTGGGTGATTGTGTCCTCAGAGCTTTGTGGCCACCCCTATAGCTGGAGATAACTTGCTTGGAACTCTTGCAGACTTTCCTGGAAATGAGAGGGCAGAAGGAGAGCAGCAGGAGGAGAAACGGCAGCTGGGCTCTGTCCCTGTCTTTCCCTGTGCAGGACATGAACACACCAGCCCTGCAGTTGCCCCGCATCCCGCCCACAACAGAATTCTTATTTGATGGCACCAGTGACATGACCATCTTTCCCCCTGTGGTCCGTGTAGAGCCTGCTGAGGTGGACTTTGGTTCCTGTCCTGGGCCTGAGACCCCCAACCCTATCCCCCTGTGCCTTTCAAACCACACCAAAGGCAAGATCACAGTAGTCTGGACACACAGGTCTGATTGCCCCTTCTGGGTGACTCCGGAGACCTTTGATGTACCCCCACTCAAGTCTATGGCCCTGCGCCTGCACTTCCAGCCACCCAGCCCCAACAGCCTCTATGCTGTGGAGCTCGAAGCCTTTGCCGTCTACAAGGTGGGTGTGGTGGGTACATGTGTGCAGACTAGATGAGTGGGGGGAAGGGAGTTCTCTGCCTGGGGACTCAAGGCAGGGGAAAGCAGGGTGTCCCCTGGGATTAGACCCTCCCAGACTCACGGCCCTGCTTTACCGCCTCAACTCAACTGAGATAAAGCCTGAAGGATTATTTCCCTCAGGGTCCTGGCTGGTGAGGGAGGGCCTGTTTCTGGCTTCCAGTTCTTGAAATAGAAGTGGTCCCTCTAAGGGAGCTGTGCAGGCAGGAACCAGGCCAGGAGGCAGCCTGGAATGTGGGGCACTGAAGTATGTCAAGGGAGAGGCTTCTAGCTCAACTTCCCTTGGTCCAGGACCTCAGCACACAGCACATAGACTGTTCCCAGCTCTGCTGAGCTGGCCAGCCTTTTAGTCCTTGTGTGCCTTCAGCAGCCCCGCTTTCTTTTCCTTCTCAGCTCTGCCCACATACTGGTTTTTCCTAGTGGCCCAATGCTAGGCTAGAAAAGCGAGGTAGCAGTCAAGATCAAGTTGCTTAGCAACTATGGAACCTTGGGCACGTTTAGTAATGTCTCTGGCCATAGCCTTTTCATCTACAATCTTGGAACCTTGCCCAAATTTGGAAGGACACATCACAAAGCAGAGTATTTAATGGCCCCTGTTCTCTTGTGTTGACAGTAGGGTGGTATAGAAGTTTATAGGAATAAGGCCCGGTCTCCCAGATGGCCAAGACTGAACACAGATTTCGGGGTTGCAGCTCTAGCCTGATGCTAACCCATAAATCAAACACAAACCACACCTGGCTACAGGGCATTTGAACTACGGCAGGTCCAAAGCCTATTAGTGGCTCATGCCTAACTTCTGAGGAGGCTGAGTTCTGAGGATCCTAGTTCGAAACCAGGCCAGGTAGACAAATCCAAGAGATTGTCATCTCCAGTTAACCAGCAAAAAAAGCTAGAAGTAGAGTTTTGACTCAAGTGGTAGAGCACCAACCTTGAACAAAAAAGCCATATGAGGGTGTGAGGCATTCAGTTCGAGCCCCCGCCCTGGCACAAAAAAAAGCAAGAAATGTGACTGGTTTGTGTAGAGACGTGCTCTAAGTATAAAATATATCCAGGTTTCAAAGACTTATTGTGAAGAGAGTGTAAAATATCTTACTAATAATTTTAATGATGATTGTGTATCTTAAGCCCTAAAATTTTGAATCTGTTGGGTTAAATAAAAAATATTATTGAAATTAACTTCACATGTTTTACTTTTTCATGTGGCCACTGGAACATTTAAAATTGCATTTGTGGCCAGCGTTTGTGGCTCACGTTGTGTTTCCATTGGCGAGCGCTTCTCAGCGCGTTCCTACAGAATGAATGCTGCCTTCACATCCCACCCAACCCTCCTCTGAGCAGCCATAAGGACTACAGAGAGGGTGCCCTCAGCACAGGGCCTGCTCATGCGGGAGGGGCTGTGTATAGCTGTTGTTCTCTGTGGTCTTTCCTGGGCTTCTGCTTTCTATGCCCAATGTCGGATGCCTGCAGCAGAGGGGCGGGGAGGGGACACGGCGGCTGCCTTCCAGGGCTGGATGCCAGGCTCTGAGCTTCCCTCTGGGCTGGCTCCCCACAGGCCCTGTGGAGCTACAGTAATATAGAAGAGGACTGCACTGTGTCCCCACCCTGGTGTCTGACAGTGCAGGTTCGAGGCCACAGCTATAGCGCTGTCTCGGAACACCGCATACCCCAATATTCTCTGGATACACCCAAGGTGAGTATAGTCCTGACAGCCGGGGGAGGGGGGCAGAGGAGCCCTGGGCTGCAGATCCCCCTTGTGTTCTCTCCCTCCCTCTCTCCCTCTCCCTCTCCCTCTCCCTCTTCCCCTCTCCTTCCTTCTCTTTCTCCCTCCCTCTCTCTCACTCATCTCTCTCTCTCTTTCTCTCTCCCCCCTCTCCCTCCCTCTCTCTCCTTCCATCTCTCTATCCCTCCCTTTCTCTCTCTCTCCCTCCCCCGCTCTCTCTGATGGCCTCTGGAGTACATCTCCATAGCTTCCCTGAGTGGATCTGAGCCATGACACTAAGCTGCAACCTTCTGGGAATTGGGCAGCAGCCCTGCCCTGCCTTCTCTGAAGTACTCACTTGGTCCTCTCACCTTTGGGTTTAAAACACTCCTACTCTCTCATCTGTCTCTGTCCTGATCATTGAGCACCCACCTGCCAGGCCCCAAATCCCAGGTTAGGCCCTAGGGATTATGACAGCCCAACCCATGAGCCTTGTCCTTGAAAAGCACTCTTAGGGGGCCAGAATTCCCAGCCCACTCCCCAGGTCCTAGAGGAGCCTGTTCAACCTTAGAAGCAGATTGACATAGGGCTAAAAAGTGCAGTGTAAGAAGGCCAGGCTGCCAGCTGCCAGTTCTTCTGTGGCCTCTGATACCTGTGGCTTCTGGCACCATCATGAGCTTCTTCATTAGTAGTCTGGTTTACTGGAAGGGCCCTAATTTGAGACGATCCTGCTTTCCCCACCAGCTACCTTCTGCCCTCCAGTCCAAATGTGAATCATCCTGATATCTGGCTCAGGGGTCTCTCCTTCCCAAAGTCCTCCCTAGCTCTTAGGGTTCTCCTCACTGACTCCCTCAGCTTCTGCTCTTGGCAGCTCTTCCCAATGGTCTGTGGCCTTTAGTGCAGTCTAGCAGGTCCCTGTTGCTCTGAGGCATGCATATGCCTGTACACATACACACACACACGAGTCTGAGAACTTGAGTCTGAGATTATAGGTCTTGTGTTGTAACCTTGGTCAGTTCTTAACCTGGTACTGGTTATAGTCCAAGGAGAATTTGAGATCTAGACTTGTAGGAGCTAGCTCCCCTCAACCACCTGTGTAAGAATTATCTAGAAGGAGCTGAAGCCCAGTGTGGTGGTCCATCACCTATAATTCTAGCTACTCAGGTAAGAAAGGCAGGAGGATTGAGAGTTTGAGGCCTGCTCGAGCAAAGTTAGCTAAGACTCTATTTCAAAAACAAAAAGAAGGGGCTGGGAAGGTGGCTCAGTGGTAGAGCGCTTGCCTTGCATGCATGAGGCCCTGGGTTCAATTCCTCAGCACCACATAAGCAAAAAGAAAAAAGCCGGAAGTGGCGCTGTGGCTCAAGTGGTAGAGCGCTAGCCTTGAGCTGAAGAGCTGAGGGACAGCGCCCAGACCCAGAGTTCAGGCCCCACGACCGGACCCAAAAGAAAAAAAAAAAAAGAAGAAGAAGAAATGACTAAAGGTGAGATTCAAGTGGTAAAGCATTTGCCCAGCATGTGGCAGGGCTCTGTTTCAATCCCCAAGCCCAGGAAAGAAAAGGGGAGGACCACTGCATCCCTAAGCTTCTCCAGGATCTCTGAAACTGGGTCTCCAAAGAGTAACTTGTCATTTTAAGGGCAGGACTTGGAGATGTGAGTTTCTCCAATACTTGTGGCCATCCAGTCTTTGTGCCTGGAGGTCTCTGGGGAACAGAGGCATTTCTTGGTGCCAGGCTCTGGTTTCCCTCAATTCCCTGACCCTAGGGCTTGGCTGGACTGTGGGCTGTCATCTTGGATCTCCTTGGAGACAGTCTCCACACAACCCTCTCCCCCTCTACCCCCCTCCCCCAAAGTCCATATGGATGGCCCTGAGTATGTATCTAAGAGTAGAGATCTGAGTAACTTTCCCCTCCTCCTCTCCCCTGCCCTCAGCTGTTTCCTGCAGTGCCTTCTGGTGAGTCTTCTTACCGCAGCCTGCTTCTGGAAAACAAAGGTTCCGAAATGCTGACCTTCAACCTGACCCCCAAGAGCAGCTCAGATATTACCCTCCGACCCTCCTCAGGCATTGTAGCGCCTGGAGCCCACCAGATCTTTATTATTAGCACCCACCCCAAGGGCACTGCCTGGAAGCAACACATTTTCTACCTGCAGTTCAACTTTTACCCCCACTATCTCAAGGTAGGTGCAGGGGTAAGACAGCTGAGTCTTTGGGAGTGGGCCATAAGCTAGGACTTTTTATCAAAATTACATTCTGACATTGGTTTTTAAAGCCCCCATGAAGAAACCAGGGGCCAGTCTTCTAGAAAGTAGCATTGTAAGGAAAGGCCTCTTAGCTCCCTCAAAAATGACTCTTCCCCCAACCCCCCAATCAGGGCTCTGCTTGTGTACCTCCATGAAGTCTGGAACCAAGATAAAGGGTACCTGGTCCAAGGGTTTAGATCCAGCCTATGGACAGGTCAACATGGTGGACCACATCTGAACTCATGAAATGATCTACATCTACTTTCTTTGTCCTTGTATTATAATAATTATTATTACTACTATTATTTGCTAGTGCTGGGGCCTGGGCACTGTCCCTAAGCTTCTTTTGCTCAAGACTAGTACTCTACCACTTGAGTCACAGGTCCACTTCTGGCTTTTTCTGTGATTAATTGGAGATAAGGGTCTCATGCACCTTCCTGCCCATGCTGGCTTTGAACCATGATCCTCAGATCTCGCCTCCTGAGAAGCTAAGATTCCAGGCATGTGTCACCAGCACCTACCTGTTCCTATGTTCTTTTCAATCTACCTTCAACAGAAGCTGCTACACCAAGGCTAGCAGAAGGCTTTTGCTTTCACTTTCAAGGTGTCAGGGGTGGGCTGCCTTGGAATGTTGGGGAACCAGGACCTCAAGGTGAGGCCAGGTACTTCCCTCCTTCCTCTGGCCCAGGAGGTGAGCATGCAGAGCCGGGAGGAGCCAGTGCAACTGAAGCTGGACACCTGCAAAAGCATCTACTTCAAGCCCACCTGGGTGGGCTGTTCTTCCACCAGCCCTTTCACATTCTGCAACCCCACACGCATGCCTCTGGAGTTTGAATGGAGGATCTCCCAGCAGCACCAAAGGACACTGGCTGTCCAGCCCTCCAAGGGGACCATCCATCCCAATGAGACCCTTGTGAGTGCCTGTTGCCCAGGTGAAAGAGAAAGTACTCTTCATCTTTATCATCTCTCACTGTGACACGTGTGGTCTGTGATGTATTACACCCCGCCCCCACACACACACACACTTACCCCACAGCATGTCTCCCAGCCTGTGAGTAGGTATTACTACCAACTCATCACCTCCATCAGACAGAGAATTCACACTCGGGAAAGAGTCACTTTCTAAGATCAAGGTTTAGGATGTGCAGAGCTAGGATCTGACAAACATTTCTTTGGTTTTGGTTTTGGTTTTGAGCTTATCCTGAGGCTTGACTCAGGGCCTGGGCACTGTCCCTGACCTTCTTTTCGCTCAGGGCTAGAACTCTCTGTCACCTGAGCCACAGCTCCACTTCTAGCTTTTTGGTAGTTTTAGTGGAGATAAGAGTCTCACAGACTTTCCTGCCCTGCCTGGCTTTGAACCACGATCCTCAGATGTCAGCCTCCTGAGTTGCTAGGATTATAGGTATGAGCCATTGGCAAACATTTCTAATGTCAGTACCCAGGGCATGCCTACACCCTTTTATCCATGGCTCCTAAAGCTGTGAGGGCTAGGAGGGTAGTGTGGAGTGGCAGGGTTTGGGGCAAATGAATAGCTCTCAGAAAGCAACGAGGAAGGGGACTCCCAGAGGTTTCAGCTACAGTTAAAAGGGGGGTATGAGTTGTAACCCAAAACAGCAGGCCTTGTCCCCAGCCTAGGGGACAGACTTGGAGCAAGAACCACCAATACTTGGTGCCCATAAGAGCCCAGAGACAGTAAAAGTGGACATGAGAAGTCATGCATACTCATGAGTTGGCTCAAACATCCTGCCCCAGCACCTGTCCTAACTAGGGTCAACCCTGGGCTAGTTACCCCACTTCTCAGAGGCTCCAACTCCTCATAACAAAATGAGTGTTAAAAATAATACCAGGGTCCAGCATGAATTGCTCAGGAAACAAATCTGAGGATCGTGGTTCAGAACCAGCCTGGGCTGGAAAGCCCATGGGACTCATCTCCAATAAACTACCAAAAAAGCCCAAATTGGAGCTGTGGCTCTAGTAGAAGACTAATCTTGAGTAAAAGAAGCTCAGGGAGAGTGCCAAGGCCTTGAATTCAAGCCCCAGGATCAGCACCAACACACACACACACACACACATAAAATCTTTATTATACCAGTGATTGAGGGGCTTCAAGAGGTGACATCATGCGGGTAAAATGCCCTGCATAAGGTAGATACTCAGAAAGCATTACCAAAATTTTAACAACTTGCAATGGGACCTCTGCTGGCTAGGAGCCCGGGGAGGGGGTTCAGGAAGCCCCCATGCAGGGACCATTTCTATCACCACAGACACTGTCGTGGATCTTCAGTCCTTTGGAGCAGACCAAGTACCTGTACCGAGTGGGAATGTGGGTCTGGGAAGCCGGCCAGCACCTAAACACCAAGCTTCAGTCCACAACATACTACATGGTCCGACTGGTGGGCATGGGCACCACTGCCAGCCTCAGTGTGAGTGTGGACCTCAGTGGGGTGGGAGGAAGGGGACAGGGACCAGTTATGAGGAAGGGCCCCAGGTTCCCTGCTCCAAGAGGGCAGAGGCTCCACCCACACCCCAGGACCTCCCCTTCCTTGGGTGTGCTCTGAGGAAGGTGGGAGAGCAGGGGTGGGATCTGGGGGAACCATGGTGGCTGGCTGACTCTGGTGTTAGGCAAAGACGAAAGAGCTGGACTTTGGAAATGTGCTGGTGAACAGCAGGCAGTCTAGGGACCTGGCTCTCCTGAACCAAGGCAACTGCACCATCTATTACCGCCTGACCCTGGAGCAGACTAGTCCTGAGGGCGTAGAACATGACTCCCCAGGTACTTGAATAGGAGGCAAGGGAATTGTATGTGGGGGTGGCGGGGTCCCTGCTTACAACAGATCAATGACACTGTGGTCTGGGTTAAGCAAAGCAGAACTGAAAACCCACTGCTTCCAGTTTATAGTAGTGAGGTGGGTACTTGTAACACAGTGAAGTGTAGTCCTGACCTGTTCCTCATCCCCTGACTTTGGGCATACTCTCAGCCAGAGCTTTGCTGGCCCAGGGGAGGGTATCTGAGAAGGAAAGGAGAGGCCAAGCTGCCAACTGATCCTGAACTCCCCCCACCCATCATTCCCAAGCAGCTCTGCAGCTGGACCACTCAGAGGGGAGCATGCCACCTCGTTCCCAGTACACCATCAGCCTGACAGCCTGCCCCAAGCACAGGTTCCAGTACTCCTGGACCATCAGCTACTCTCTCGTGTCCTGCAAAGGTACCCGGAACCCAGTGCAGAGAGTCAAGGTGGGGGTTGGGCAGCAAAAGGGAAGCAAGGAGGCATATGAGACTGGGTGAAGGTATGCTGAGGTCCAGGACATTTGGCAGAGTGCGCGGGGGCCAGCTGGATGGTGTCTGATTGTGGATGCCAAGTCTGTCTAGGTGGGTGTCCATATGTGTGTGTATCTGAGCTGTGGAAGTCTCACTCTGAAGAGTTAGGAAGCATGCTGCTTGCCAGTGGGATTTTAGGCACACCTCAGCCTCGGTTCTCTCCTGACTCGTGGCAGGCTGGATGGGGGAGGAGGAGAGAATGGAGACTCCATGAGATTGGGTTCTGGCTCCTACACTTATTGGTCCTGTGGTCTTACAAAGTTGTTTCAAATGCCTTGTGCCTGAGTGTCCTCGTCTATAAAATGAAGACCATAATGGCAACAAACCCCCAAAAGGAATGTAGGGCCACAGTGTAGAAGGACCCTGAAAGCGTGGTGCTAAAGGAAAGAAGCCAGTCACAAAAAGCCACATATGGAATGATTCCAGTTATTTGGACCATCCAGAAGAGAAAATGTGTATGTGGGAATATATATGTGTGTTTGTTTATGTATACACATAAAATGTGTACAAATATATATGTGTGTGTACATGTATATTTTTTCCACACACAGTAAGATTCATGGTTACCAAGACGGGGTAAGGGGTAAATGGGAGCAATGTACTGGTTTTCTTTGGTGGATGATAGACGTTTGTTAAATTCACACCATTATGTGAATATACAAAAAGCATTGAACTGTGTGCCAATAAAGTGCTTAATGAAAATTAGTAGGAAAATTAATAGTGATGTGTATTAAATATAGGGATAATGTAAAGCACTTGAGACAGTATCTGGTACACAGTAAGTCTCAGGCCAGGGTTGGCTGCTGTTGCAAATGATCCAAAGCTGAAGGCATGGCTGCTGCTCTTTCATCAAGGTCCTGTACATCTCACCCCAGAGGCTTCTGGGAAGTGAGCTCCCTCCTCTCTCCACCCTTCTGACCCCAGATAACAAGGTTAGTGAGAAACAGGAGCTGTGTCGTGTCTCCCTGGTGGCTGTGTATCCTCTACTCTCCATCCTGGATGGCTACTCCATGGGCAGCACTGAGGGCATCACCAGGAGGTATTTGTGGCGCCTCTTCAACCTTGACACACTCAACAATTACCTGGCACATGAACCCACCCCCAATGAGCTCACCTACAAGGTGCCCACTAAACACAGGTAAGCTGCATCTAGAAACAAGCAGGGACTATCAGGGGTGTGCATGGAGCTGTCTGCTGATGCCACAGCAAGAAGCCGATTCCCATCTCTTTGAGAGAAGAGGCACCAAATTCTTTCTTTTAAATTGTTATTATAAAATGATATGCAGAGGAGTTACAGTTACACAAGTCAGGTAATGAGTACATTCCTTTTGGGACAATGTCACCCCTTCGCTTGTTCATATTCTTATCTGATCATGGAAGGGTCTGGGAGGGCAAGGATTGGCTGGAGGGATAGAGAGCCAGGTAGTTCATCCCTGCCCCCGAGTCACACCTGTCGGGTGAGGGGATGGGAAGTAACCGAGCCCCACCCTGTCCTTATCCTCTGCTCTGAATCTGGGTCTTTGCTTTACACAGCATCAACAGGATACCTACCATCTTAACCCCTTTGAAACTTGACTTTAATTTTGGGGCAGCACCACTCAAGGCTCTACCCTCCGTGGTGCTCCTGGTCTTGAAGAACACTGGAGTGGTACCCTTGGACTGGTATGGCTGGCCTAAAGGGGGTCATGGGTGGGGATTGGCAAGGGGTCAGGACCTTTGAGGTTGAGAAAGTCCTGCCAATGGGAGACCTGGCTTTCTGTGTGTGTGGTGAGTCGGCCTCCCAATGATGAGGTGTGGGGCCCAAGTGCAATGTGGGTTGCCCAGTGACTCTCAGGACCTGTTGCTACTAAGACTTGTAATAAGCTTAGAGCAAGGTGGAATTGTGCTCGTGGAGACAAGGCATCGCTGTCTTGGCTGAGTAGTGGAAATGTTCATTCACCACCTACGGGTGTGCCGTATTCTGTGCTTTATCTGCCTTCAATCCTATGATCCTCACAAGCAGCTCTCTCTGAGAGTACTCTGCCAACTCATTCATAGAGGCCTGAGAGTCCGCAGTCAAGGCCATTCATTGGTGGAGACAGAGCCAAGTTCAAACCCAGCTATGTCCAATTCCAGAGGCCCTGCCTAAGACAGTTAGTTAGCAAAGTTTTGAGTTGTTTCTGAATACCAGGAGCATCTAGACATAGGACTGCCTGACGGGTCTCAGTTTAGGGGCTGGGCCCAAATGGGAATGAGTAAAGAGTGTATGGAAAAAACAGGAATCTGCCACCACAGATAGAGTAGCTGTGATGGGCACAGCGAAATAGAGCTTTGGGGCTGTGGGGAAGCTGGAGGAAGAGCAGGGCTGGAGACCTGAGTCCACCAAGTCTGGGCTGTCCTATGCTTCACTGTCCTCCCATTTGGGCCCAGAATTTGTGTCCAGCAAACATCCTGTTTCCACGCCAAAGCTTGTCCTTCCTCCTTGCCTCTGCCATGGACCTGGATTTCCTGCTAACTGTCTTTTTGAGAACTTCCAATTTTGCTTGGCTCATGCAAGGGTAAAAAAGTAGAGTCTCCGTCTGGGTCAGGCTGGGGAGAAAGCCAGGCCCAGCCTGGGCATGGAAGGATACAGTGTGAGTGAAAAGACGCAGGTGGGGGCATCTGTGGTCAGCACCTGCTGGCCTGAGCAGAGGAGCTGCAGGGTCTAGGGGGATAAGGAAGAAGGGGCTGTACTGTCAAGTTTGAAGTGGATGCCCTTGCATTCTGATAGCCCTAATGGAACAAGATGGAGAGATTGGCTTTTCGGGCGTCTCCTGTCTGGGAAGGGCCGGTCTGAGAGTAACTCATGGCTGCTGGCTTTGAGTAACTGGGAAAGTTTGGCAGGGCTATTGGTGAGTTCCGGATTTGCCATTCACTGAACTATTAAGCAAAGCAGGAACCAGCCCTCTCAGGGATCAGGGCTTTGGCCTGTGTCCTAAAATAGAGTAGGGTGGATGAAGGCACATAGACACATGTGCATGCACACACGCACACACACACACACACACACACATACACACACAAGCAGCCCAGATCACACTGTGGAGAGGGTCCAGGCTATTGGAAACCAAGGCGGGAGGAAATCCAGGCAGAGTGCCCATTTCTGGACCTTACCAGCAGGAAAGCTGGCCGTGCTTCTTCTAACTTCTTCCAGGGTTCCCAGGGCCTGACTCTCCTGTACTTTTTTGTGTTACTGTGTTTCCTTTCACTTTCTTAGAAGGCTATTTTTGCAAATCCTAGCTTGCCTCTCTTGAGCTCATAAAGAACAGACAGAGAGTTTTATTACTGCCAGGGCCCGTCCAAAAACGGGAGTCATAGAGAAAAACGACCTGGAGGTAGAAGGCAGGATGGAGGGGGAGCCCCAAGTGGGAGGGGGAGCCAACAGGGAGCTTTGCAGCAAGCCCCCTCCTCCTAACACCTCTGCTCTGCTTGGTTCCAGGATGGAAGATGTACAGGGACTTGTGTTTAAGGGCAATACTCCTTATAGATGTTAAATATGCTGTTTAATGTTACTTGTTACCCATTGTCTAAACCTTTTACTGGTGCTTTCCAGATGTAGGCTTCAGGCATGTCCTCAGAACAGGAGGATAGACCAGCCTGGTCTCTCCTTCTTCAGAGACCTGCACTGAGTGGCCTCTAGATGCAGGTGATACGTGTGTTAGGAAGGAATGTACAGTTCCCAGAGGGCCATGTTTGTTTGTTGGAGGACATCTAAAAGACTTTCTGGACAAGCTATACCGGAGGCAGGCCTGTAGCCTTGGGTATAAGGGGCACAGAAGCTTTGAGGCATCTTCCTGAAGTCATAGGCAGAGCTGGAGCAAGGAGAGTGACAGGAAAGGCCTGTGACAGGAAAGATTGGAGTAGGCAGGGACCAACAGATGCTGAGCCTGCAATCCTCCTGCAGGGAGTTTTGACATCCTCAATTTTTTAAACAGTTGCTTATTCTACATATAGAGGACCTTACATTATTAAATCATAGCTTTATTAGAAGACTTTGTTTACTGGTGTGTGTGTGTGCACACGCGTGTGCATGTGTGTGTGTGCATACATTTGCCACTTTGAAGAAAGTTGTTGAAAAGAAGATGTGGCTAGGCTCACACCTGTAATCCTAGCTACTCAGTCCAGGCAAGAAAAATCTGTGAGACTCTTATCTTCAATTATCCACCAGAAAACCAGAAGTGGCACTGTGGCTCAAGTGGTAGAGCACTAGCCTTGAGCTGAAGAGCTGAGGGACAGTGCCCAGGCCCAGAATTCAAGCCCCATGATGGAGAGAGAGAGAGAGAGAGAGAGAAAGAGAGAGAGAGAGAGAGGAAGGAAGGAAGAGAGAGAAAGGAAGAAAGAAAGAAGGAAAGAAAGAAAGAGAGAGAAAGGAAGGAAGGAAGGAAGAAGAGGAGCTATGGCTTAAGTGGTAGTGTACTATCCTTGAGTAAAAAGGTCAAGGACAGAGCTCAGCCCCTGAGTTCAAACACCAAGACTGGCACCTCCCCCTGTAAAAAAAAGAAAAGAAAAAGAAAATGAGGGCTGGGAATATTTCTTAGTGGTGGAATGCTTGTCTAGCATAAGTTTAAAGCCCTGGGTTTGATTCCTCAGTACCACATAACCAGAAAAGGCCAGAAATGGTGCTGTGGCTAAAGAAAGTGCTAGCCTTGAGCCAAAGAAGCTCAGAGACAGTGCCCAGGCCCTAAGTCCAAGCCCTATGCATGTGTGCCTCATGCATGTATGCATTTTTTTATTTCTGCAGTTTAATTCCCAAAAATTGGATTTCTGGGTCAAAGGACATGTGTATTTCTTATTCTAATAGAAGCTGTCAAAATTTTTTCCAAAAGGTAGTAGCAGTTTTCTCCCCCGACCCCTCTCTGAGGTTGTCCATTCTTTCTAAAATTAGCAGTATTGGATATATCTTTTTTACATCACTGCTATGAAATTTTTTTTTTCCATCAGCTGTGGGGCTTGAACTCTGGGCCTGGGCGCTGTCCCTCAGCTCTTCAGCTCAAGGCAAGCGCTCTACCACTTGAGCTACAGCGCCACTTCTGGTTTTTCTGGTGGTTATTGGAGATAGGGGTCTCACGGTCTCTCCTGCCCGGGCTAGCTTTGAACCGCGATCCTCAGATCTCAGCCTCCTGAGTAGCTAGGATTACAGGCGTGAGCCACCAGCGCCCGGCTCTGCTGTGAAAATTTTGTGTTTTGGTTTGTATGTGCCTGATTCTTGGCAGGGGTTTGGGGATACATATTGGCTGTTTTCCTTTTTCTGGATGCCCTCTATTCACTTCTTTGGCCGAGTTTGCTGCCAAGGTCAGTTCCATGCCATCTCTGTGAGATGGAGGAATTCTATCAATTTGTGATGCTGGGATCCCTTTGTATACTGGTTTTGTCAGCTGGTTGGGGCACAGTGTCTACTTCCCTACCTTGCAAGGCTCTGGGATCACTAACTCTACACTGTGTCCTTCATGCTTGTTTCAAGACTGCCAGCGCAGCTCGGCACTGGTGACTTAGGCCTAGATAATCTTAGCTAATCAGGAAGCTGCAATCTGAGGACTGTAGTTCAAAACCAGCCCAAACAGAAAAGTCCATGAGAACTGTTTCTCTTGTCTCCAATTAACCAGCAAAAATCTAGAAGTGGAGGTGTGGCTCAAGTAGTAGAGTGCCAGCCATGAGTGAAAACTTCAAGTGAGAGCATGAGCCCGAGTTCAACCCCTAAGTACCAGCAGACAAAAGACGTGCCATCTCTCCCGAGCACAAGCACTGTCCTCTACTCAGTGCCCAAGCTTGCCTTGGTACCCTGCCTTCCAGGGGCACCAGATTTCCTGGGAGGCTCAAATGGCCCCTTTCTAACTGGCTACCTCTAAGTGATCCACATATACAAGTGGCCCCTGGTGGCCCCTGCCATCCACAAAGCCCCAATCTTCATTTTCCTTTAGTTACTATGGCTCTACCTCTGTTCCCAGGCTTTAAGAGCATTACAAAATGGCAATGCACACAATTGCCTTTGTTCAGCTGTATATGGCCAGCCGGCCAAAGGGGGATTAGCGCAATAGGGATGGTGGGATTTCTGTCTCTGTTTCTCCAGAGCAGGACCCTTTTCTGTGCTGACTGCCCCATCCTTTGCACGGTCTCACGCTCCTTGCTTCCCATTCCTCTTTCCAGGGCCTTTCTCTTTCCAAGTGACCAGCGGCTTGACGTGGAGCTGTGGGCAGAGCAAGTAGAGCTCAGCAGCACTGAGCTCCATCAAATGCGCGTGGAAGACAATTGCCTCTTCTCCATTAGCCCCAAGTCTGGGAGTCTGTGTCCTGGAGAGGAGCAGATGGTGGAATTCAAATACAGGTGATCATATACCCTGTCATCGTGTACTTTCTATCCAGTAGACTCTCGTCCACACTTTTCCTGGTGGTACTGGTTCCTGGTGGTGATACCTTGAATGGGAGGCCATCCTTTACAGGGGAGGTCTTATATCTTACCCCAACTCAGCTGTGAGTCTCTCCCAGGGGTTAGTAGGCTAACGGCCACAGGTATGCCGTGCCATTTGTTCTCTCACTGGAACCAGGCCCACGACTCACTCTGAACTCATCTCCTCCCTTCTAGCCATCTGTTCACAGGCACGGATCGCCTCCCTGTACTGTTCAAGGTGTCTCAGGGCCGAGAGATACTGGTGAGGCCCCAGAACCCTGATCCTGCCCTGAATCCCAGGTTGTAAGAGAGGCTTCCTAGACAACCAAGAGAGGAGCAGGGAGCCACGCTCCCAGGGGATCTGGGGTTTGGATATCTCTGCTGGGTGTGCCAGCCAGTTTCTCCCAGGGAGCGATGCTACTCATGGGCTTTTTATTTCCAGCTGAATTTCATAGGTGTGACTGTGGAGCTAGACCAGAAGTATGTGCACTTCGCTTCCACCAACCACAGCTTCACCCCTGTCCGCATCGGTGACACGCTGCCCCCGCGGCAGGTCAGTGATTTAGATTGTCAGGATCACCAAGAACTCCAAGTATTGATCTCTGCATATCTGCATATCTGCTGTTGGCAGTTGACAAAGACACTGCCCTGCAGAGTGCTCTAAGATAGATTGGACAACTGGGGAGACCCAAGGTCAGAGGCCTCCTAAGTACTAAGTCCTTTGGCCAAGCTCAGTTTCTATGTAAAAATAAGGTTATTTTCCCTTTAGCACAAGATTTCTGAAACTTGTTTGACCATGAACCTTGCTAACATATTATATATTACATATGCTTATAGTCCAGTATTTACCATACATACAACTGGAACCAAAATATCATATATCTTTGGCTACTGTGTGCAACATACATGACTTTTTCGTTTATTCTTTTTTTTTTTTTTTTTGTCAATCTTTGAGCCACAGCACAACTTCCAGTTTTCTGGTGGTTAATTGGAGATAACAGTCTCATGGGTTTCTTGCCTGAGCTGGCTTTTGAACCATGATCCTCTGATCTCAAACTCCTGAGTAGCTAGGACTACAGACATGTACCACTGGCGCCCACTTCTTTTATTCTTTTTTAAAAGTTTTCTTGTCAAGTAGTTTTACAAGGAGTTTACAATTCCATAAATCAAGTTAAGTATGATGCATGTTGATCTATATCACCCTGTCTATTGCTTTCCTCTATTATTACCCCTCTCAATCCTACCTTCAATCTTTTCCATTCTTTAAATTCTGGATTTGGTCTATTATGTTGATTTAGACTTACTCCCTAATAGACCTCTGCTACCGTTTGGAAATCACTGCTTTAAGAAAAATGTCTTTCTGGATTATAAGATACAGGATTGTGAATCCTTTTGGAATTATGGACTTTATCAGTTGGCAAGAATCAAGCACCTTTGCTTTGAAAATATACATTGGGCTGAGCTCTGATGGCTCAGGCCTATAATTCTAGCTGCTCAGGAGGTGGAGGTCTGGAGATCATTTTGAAGCTAACCCGAGCAGGAAAGTCTGCCAAGACTCTTTATCTTCAGTTAACCACAAAAAGCCAGAATTGAAGCTGTGACTCAAGTGGTAGAATATCAGTCTTGAGTGAAAAAGCTAAGGGGTAGAGCTCCAGCGTGCGTGCATGCGTACACACACACACACACACACACACACACACACACACACACACAAAACATTGGGCATTCCTAAAAGGAGGGCATATGTATTTTCTAAAACATTACACAGCTGTAAAATCTCCAACCATTGAAAAGCTCTTGTTTCTAGGCAGGGGTCTCAAACTGCTCAGCCTAGAATAAAAGCCAAATGGGCTTCCTGGGCCTAAAGGGGCTCTTTGAGCACTGAGCTCTTCTTGTTTCTTTTCTTTTTTTTCCCCCTACACCCTCTGGCTTCCAGCAGCCCCACTCAGGCTGTGATAGAGAAAGTGGTTTAAACCACAGGGGCTTGCAGTAAACGTGTACGAAAGAGAACTGCTAGGTGAAGGAACAGGTTTTAGAATAAATAGTTTGATTACACATCTGTGAGCTGGTGGCTCACGCCTGTAATCCTAGGTACTAAGGAGGCTGAGATCTGAGGATCACTGTTCAAAGCCAGCCTGGGAAGGAAAGTCCCTGAGACTCTTATCTCCAATCTACCAGAAAACCAGATGTGGTGCTGTGGCAAGTCGTAGAGCACTACTCTTGAGCTTAAGGACTGAGGGACAGGGCCCAGGCCTAGAGTTCAAGCCCCAAAACTGACAAAAAAAAATTACTCAATTTGAAATATACATAGCTTAGGCTTTTCAGTAGACAGTGGACACCAATTTTATTAGTCTACTCTGGCTACTAATTCACCATGGACTGAGTGGGTTATAAAGAAGAAAATGTTTAATTCATACATTCATTTCTTTTTTCTTTTCTTCTTTGTGCTTGAAATCAGGGCCTGAGCGCTGTCCCTTAGCTTTTTTCACTCAAGGCTAGGGTTCCACCACTTGAGCCTCATCTCCACTTCCAAAACTGGAAGTGGAGATCTCCAGTTAATTTGGAGATAAGATTCTAACAGACTTTCCTGCCCAGACTGGCTTTGAACCATGATCCTCAGATCTCAGCCTCCTGAGTAGCTAGAATTACAGGTGTGAACTGCTGGCACCCAGCTAATTCATCCATTTTTGAAGGGTAGGAAGTCTAGGATAAAGACCTGGAAAGTTCAGTGTCTGGGGAAGGCTTATCTTCCTGGTTTGCAGATAGTGACTTCTCATTTTGAAAAGGGCACAAATCTCACCCATGGGAGCTTCATCCTCATGACGTCTCAGAGGACCTCCTTCTCAATACTATGGCTCGGGAATTAGGTGTCAGCATATACATTTGGGGATGAGGGCAGATCCAAGCATTCAGTCCATAGCATCAGGCCTAGAGATTATGGGAGTAGGCCAGACCAGAAAAATAAAGTCAGCCTATTTGGGTGTGAATTTTGAGAAAGATGAGTTGGTCCAGGATCAGTTCACTGTTTATACTCTCTGGATTCAGTTTTCTTATCTCAAAAAAGAAAACTGAACCAGAAGAATGCTGATTTTCTCCCAGGATGCTCTTTACAGTCAGTCTTTGAGTACTTCATACCTTCCTTTCACCCCTTTATCTACTTTTTTTTGAGGGGGGGAATCTGGTTGTGGGGCCTGAACTATGGGCCTGAGCGCTGTCCCTCAGCTCTTCAGCTCAAGGATAGTGCTCTACCACTTGAGCCACAGCGCCACTTCCGGCTTTTTTCTTTTTGCTTATGCGGTGCTAAGAAATTGAGCCCAGGGCCTCATGCATGCAAGGCAACTGCTCTACCACTGAGCCACCATCCCAGCCCCCCCTTTACCTACTTTAAATAGGACTTCCTTTAAAGTCATACATGGAGAGTGACAGCCATATTGGGGACTAAAATGAGAGCCTATAAAATGATGAAGGGGTGGGGCTCCAGTGGCTTATGCCTGTAATCCTTGAGCAAAAGAAGCTCAGGGACAGTGCCTAGGCCCTGAGTTCAAGCCCCAGGACTGGCCAAAAAAAACACACACCTCAGAGATAGTGCCAAGGCCCTGCATTCAAGCCCTAGGATCTGAAAAAGAAGGAAGGAATGAGAGAGAGAAAGAGAGACAGAGAAAAAAGAAAGAAAGAAAGAAAGAAAGAAAGAAAGAAAGAAAGAAAGAAAGAAAGAAAGAAAGAAAGAAAGGAAGGAAGGAAGGAAGGAAGGAAAGAAGAAAGAAAGAAAGGAAGGAAGGAAGGAAGAGAAAGAAAAGAGGAAGGAAGAAAGAGAAAGAAGGAAAGAAAGAAAGGAAAGAAGAGAAAAGAAAGAAAAATGAAGGGTCTGGATGGTGTGTATGGTATATAGATAAACATTTCTCAACATTCCACGGCTAGGGACACCCACACAAAGATCACCTTATGACTTGATTTGAGATCTGAGGATTATAGTTTAAACCAGCCTGGGTAGATAAATCAGGAAATTCTTATCTCCAAATAAACACCAAAAAGCCAGAAGTAGAGCTGGAGCAAGTGGTAGAATGCTAGCCTTGAACAAAAAAGCTCAGGGACAGTGTTCAGGCCCTGAGCTCAAGGCCCAAGACTAGCATGCACAATCCCTCCTACAGAGAGGGGATAGGGGATAAGTTGAGGGCAAATAAAATAGGGTAAATCTCTCCTTTACAAATAGGATTGCAAATTACCCTAAAATGTCACGGGCTATATAGGTTTTATATATATAGTTACCCATTTCTTTTACATGGTAAGCAAGTCATAGGGGAAATCAGAGGTGTTTGGGATGCTCAGGGACTCTCGGGGTGATTATGGACAACAACCTGCCTTCCTATAAAGGACACAGAGTTCCAGCCTCTCTAGTCTGCAGTTCTGAACTGGTGTGGAAATCTCTGTTCTCCTGTCCCCACCCCACAGATCTATGAGCTGTATAATGGTGGCTCAGTGCCTGTGACATATCAAGTCGAGACCAGTATACTGTCACAGGTTCAGGAAAAAAATTTTGACCACTCCGTCTTCTGCTGCCTCAACCCCAAAGGGGAGATCCAGCCAGGCACCCTCGCTAGGATCCTGTGGATCTTCTCACCTATTGAAGCCAAGACTTACACGGTGAGCAGCAGCCCGGAAAACAGAAGGTTGGAGCTGTGGCTTCTTCACCTGGTCCCTCTCTGACGAGTTCCTACTCCACCCTTTACCTTCCCAGGTGGATGTGCCCATACACATTGAGGGATGGAACTCAGCCCTTATCCACTTCCGGGGAGTGGGCTATGACCCCAACATCATGGGTAACACAGCCCCATTCCACAACATCTGCTTGTGGGACTCCAGCTCCATACCATATAGGCTGATGGTTCCTGGGCAGGTGAGGAAAGGGAACTGGGGAGGCCTGAGACCTTAGAGGGGGGCTTTAAGTAGCCCACGGTGGCCAGTAAAAGGGCTGGAGAGACTGGGGGAAGATGTAAGGTGGGATTGAGGAGGATAGAGAGGTGAGGCTGGAACTATCCTGGCTTCACGAAAGGCTTACCCTGCCATCTAGTGCCCACAGTGTCCCTGCATCAGCCGCTCCACCTGCTGCAGGGCTTCATTCTCGGCCTCTTCTCTGGACAGAGGACTGGGATGTTAGAAGGTCTAGAAAGAAGGCATCCCATGCTAATGATTATCTGCATATAGAATAGTTCCTCTCCTGGATCTAGAAGGATATTGTTTTTTTTAAAAATCAAGTCATTAATACTATCTTTAAGTCATATGGTTCTCTTTATTGAAAGTCTGACCCATTCATCCATCCACCCAGCCATCCAACTATCCATGCATGCATCCACCGTCTCTACTCATTAACCCACATACCAGTTACTGATCTATGTATCCATCCTATCACTATCCCTCTGTCTACCCTTTCACTCAGACCCTCATTGGATTTCTACTCCAGGATGAGCACTGTAGAGAAAAGGCTGGAATGACTCAGGGTCTGGACAGAGAGAAAATACCTTTTCTGTGTGATCCCAGTCTTTGCAGAAATTCATGCAACACAGCTCTTATGCTGTGCCCAGTAGAGATGCCAGCAGGTCATCACCCATTCATTTAGAACTATCCACTCGAGATTCAAATGCTTTAGTTCTGCCTTCTTTAAACTAGTTCTGATTCAGCCTCTTCCAACCTTATTTTGATGGTTCAAATCCTAAGCTTTTGAGTGAGGCTGAATTCATCCCAGATCTGCATTCACAGGGCATTTGGAAAAGTTGCTTATGTTCTCTGAACCTTAGCAGCATGTATGTCAAATGGGGAACAATAGTCATTCATATGTCATAGGTCCATTGGGAGGATCTCATATACGGAAAACATCTCATACAGTACTTGTTGGGAATGCAGAGAATGGGCAGTGGCTGTACAGTTATTGTTTCTTTACTTCCCAAAGTTGCCGCTATGCTGTCTCCATCCATAGGTTGTCTTCCTGTCCCAGTCCCATGTCTCCTTCGGAAACATCCCTGTACAGAGCAAGTGTAGCCGGATGCTCTTCCTCAACAACACCTCCAAGAAGGACACAATCTTCTTCTCCTGGCAGCCAAGTTCCATAGACTTTGGGCAGGTGAGAGTCTTCTGTACCTGTTGATTCAGAACCTCCAGCAAGGCTTGTAATTGATTCCACCCTTGCTCAATTTCAGTACATCCCGGGTCATCCCATCCCGTCTTGTCCCACAATATCCCATGTCTTCATATCCAGTTCCATTCCTGTGAGATTCTGAAGACTCCCTCCCCAAATTAACAGATATCTGTGGATCCCATGGAAGGGGAGATGGCTCCTGAAGAAACAGTCCCATTTGTGGTGACCCTGCAGGCCTCAGTGCATGCTAGCTTTTATGGCGTGGACCTGATATGTAAGGTAGGGACCAACCCAGGAGAGACAGATGGTAATGAAGATACAGCTTCCAGTCCTGGGGTTGGAGATGGCTCTGAGATCCCTAGACTCTCTAGAGAGAGGCACATGTCAGTCAGCTCCAGCGGGCTCAAGCTGAGACACTCCAGATCTTCTTGCCTTGTGCTGGGTCCAGGTGTATCGGCAAGAACTCATGTGGAAGTACCACAAGGAGTTAAAGGAGTGGGAGAAGGAGAAGAAGCGGCAGGAGGAGGAGTTTATCATCACAGACAGGAAAGTGAAGGTGAGAAGGGCCAAGAGGGCCTCATACACACAGATTCCTCGGACTAGCCTTACCAAAGGCACAAAGGTAGTGGGCCAAAGTAGTAGTCCTTGCAAACCTGCCCCAAGACATCTGATTCTACTTACTGGAGTCAGCCTAGCATCTCCATAGCCACCCCAGGTCACCTGGGGATGGAGAAGGCTGGCTGATGATTCCTAGCCTCATGTAGCAGGATTCCATGAGGAGCTTCTAGGTACTGGGACTGGAAACACAGGAATATACAGAGCAATTCTGAGGAAAGAAACTATGGCATAGTAGCTTTGAGTGAGGCTTTGGAAAGGGAACATCCAAACTTGATTGCTTGATTAGCTTCGTGATAACCCAGAGGACTATTGAGGCAAGACTGGCCATGAATTGAGTGATTAGACAGTAGAGGATTCTTTTTGAAGCATTTGCTTTCCTTTCATAAATGCAAACTAAAAACTCGAACTTATTTTAAACTAATCAAGGTGGCTCCTTCTTGTAATTCTAGCCACTCAAGAGGCTGAGATCAGGAGATCTCGGTTTGAGGCCATCCCAAGCAAAAATTCCATGAGACCTCTAGCTCAGTCAACAAAAAGCTAGGTATAGTGCTACACTCTTATCGTCCCAATGACAGTCCAGGTTGTCCCCAAGCAAAAAGCAAGACTATACACAAGAAATAACAAAAGTAGGGATGGGAAGGTGGCTCAGTGGTAGAACGCTTGCCTTGCATGCATGAGGCCCTTAGCACCACATAAGCAGAAAAAGCCAGAAGTGGCACTGTGGCTCAAGTGGTAGAGAGCTAGCCTTGAGCTGAGGCCCAGAGTTCAGGCCCCACGACTGACAAAAAATAAAATTAAATAACAAAAATTAAAAGGGCTGGAAGTGTGGTTCAAATAGCATCTGCCTAACATTCACAAGGCCCTGAGTTCAAAATCCAAGGTTGTCCTAATCCATGTAAGTACACACACACACACACACACACACACACACACACACACACTTATATGTATAAATATGTATATACTTTATAATGTATCAGGGCATTTATACACTTATATGTACATATACATATATGTGCGAATTAAATGAGCTAAAACACATAAAATGCCTACCCCAGAGTGAACCCAGTGAACATGCCCTAAATGTCGGCTATTTGTATTTCCAGAGTGAGAGCAATAGTAAATACAAGACAGCATTTGACTCATTCCCAGCCTCTGAGCTGGTGTTCTTGCCCTGCTCTGTGTCCACTACACAAAGATCCCAGAAAAACTTTGCTCCCTCTGCAGCTCTTCCCTGCTGTGAATACCAGTCTCTTCCCAGGAGAGCTCCTAAAGGGCCTTCCTAGTCAAGTCTCCATAACATAGGCTGCTTCCCAGTGCCCAGGGGACAAGGACAAGCAGCTCAGGGGCAGTCTGCCCACATTTGGTGGCATTTCCTTTTCTGTCACTTGGCTGAACAGATTTTCCTTGTCAACAGGCAGCACTTCCCTAGGGAAGATTCTGGAAGAGGGTAGGATGTGGGGAGGTGGGAAAGACCAAGAAAGAAGGCCACAGAGCCTAGTCCTGATCAGCAAGAGGCGCAGAAATGGCCATGGGCTGGGCCTCTCATATTCTAAGCAAGGCCCTGTCTGCTTCTGCAGAGGAGAGTTTTCTGTACAGCCTGTGAACCTGTGAAGAGGTATAAGGTGAGGGCTGGGACTTCCTTGGAATGACTTGGGAAGGTCTGTGCTCACTCCCAGAGATACTTGGAACCCCCTGGCCCAGCCTCCAGGAAGGGAGGGAAGAAAGTGAAGCCCTACCCCTAGAGGACCCAAAACACCTGGTTAGGGGGCTAGGTCAAGGGACCCATAGGTGATGAAAATACCACCACCACCTCCACCACCCCATCATCCATGTTTTTACTTCTCAAAGACGCTGCCCCCCATCACAAACCAGCAACCCTCCTGCCAGCCTGCCAGCTGGAAACTGCGGATGACAAAGGAGGAGCCACCTTGGTCACACCCCCAGCCACCCACGCCAGCCATTCTCTGCCTGAGCCTCACTGCCCGAACCCACGCCATTGACTACTACCTGGCCAACTTCTTCTCCGAGTTTCCCCGCCACTTCTTGCACTGGTGAAATTTTGGGGAGGCAGGGGTCACCAGGGGATGCCCAGCCCAGCATTGGTGAGGGCTGGGATGAGTGAGACCCAAGACGCCCCTATTACTACTTTAAGTCTTTATAAGGAGGGGGCCAAAGAATCTGTGGAGAACCTACCCAGGGCTCCTGGGTAGCTCAGAGCTTCTGTAGGTCCTGCACTGACATGAAGGGCTAGGCGTGGCTCCCTGGGTTTATAGTAGTGCTGTATTTGCCTTAAACCTTGAGGTGCCTCCACAGTCTCTATGTTCTCCTGACTGGGTACCTCCCACCATGGCTTGTGCCCCAGGGTAGTGGGTTTGCCTAGGTCAATCAGAGTGTCATGGCCTGCTCCAGGGAACTGCCAAAGAAGAAACGCCACAGGGAAGAGACAGAGGCTTCTGCGGAAGAAGCTGTAGCTGAAGAGGTGGAGCCTGTCTCCAAGCAAATGAAGCAGCTTCTAACTGACTGCCTTACCGCCATCATCAGGTGCCTCCCACTTCTAGACCTTCCTCTTCACCATCTCATCTCTTTATCTCAATCAAAGCCCCTAAAAGTGGGGCTTCCTGTGGAGGGTGGGGCTTCCTCTCATCTGTATCATTCTGACTTGCTGCCTGTGCCTGCCTCACTTCCTTCCTATTCATGTCTAAGAATCTAGGATGCTCCATGATGCCTTCCCCAAGGGCATCTGTTTTTACCAGCAAGAGCTACTCCTTGGGGAGCCCTAAAACCCAGGGTTCCCTAGGGAGCTGCAAGCCCCGCCCCCCAGAAGGCCCATGTCTTCCTCCCTGCCACCCAGGGGCCTGCTGGAAGACAAGAACTTTCAGGAGGCTGTGGATCAAAACCTGGTAGAGGAAGTGCCCTATTTCTGCCAGTTTTGGAGTGAGCAATCCGCCCAGACCATGGCCCCTTACGGCAGCCTGTACTTGATGCCAGTCACATCCATGACTTCTGACAACAAGGCAGTGGGGAAGAAGGAAAGAGAGGAAGAGGAAGAAGAGGAGGAGGAGCAGGAGGAAAAAGAGGAGGAAGAGGAGGAAGAAGAAGAGGAAGAGATGGAAGAGATGGAAGAGGATTTTGAGTTTGAAAAGCTGGAGATGGAGGAGGAAGAGACAGAGGGGAAGGAAGTAAAGTTGACCTGGATGGGGGTTGAGCCTATGCTGCAGCATTCCCAGCAGTCTCTGCAATGGCAGTGGAGTAAGAATCTGAGACACATGAAGAAGGAAGAGCAGGAGCATGATGAGAAAGAGGCCATTGGAAGGTGAGCTACCAGGCCCAGATAAGGGTTAGGAGAAAGTTCCTAGGTAGCAATCGTATGTTGAGGTTGATCCCTACCTGTACCAAATCTCTTGCTAACTCAAGGTCCTGTGACGTTATGTTGGTAACTTAAGTCCTGAATTGGGACGTTTGTTGCAGAACAAAACTGGCCTTTATTTTCTCCTGTGTGTCTGTTCATATTTACCAACTCATCACAGAAGCTGAGCTAGTCTTCAAGGTCTCTTCAAATGGGAATCTTCCAATGGCATCCTCTGCCTCCCCAGATGCACTCTATCTGTTTGGGGATTGCCTTGCCTATGCCCCCACACAGCTCCTCAGCATCCTGGTCACCACTCCCTCCAGTGTCCAAACTACACTGCCTGGGTTGTAGCAGATCAGCAATAGGATGATCTCTTCTAGTCACGCGTGGAGCATCTACCCAATTGCAGCAGCACGTCCCCACGGTGTTGGGGGTGGCGGGGCGCGGCGTCCAGTGGGCAACTGTGGAGAGCCCACACGCAGGAGCTAGCAGGAGGACTGGCACGCAGGGCCCTGGGCCTGGATAACGTCGGTGTCCCCGCTCCCCCTTCCAGGCTGCGTGCCTTCGCCAACCTGCAGGAGGCGCTGTTGGAGAATATGATCCAGAACGTCCTAGTGGAGGCCAGCTACGGGGAGGTGGTGCTCACCTCGCGGCCGCGCATCATCACAATGCGGCCGGTGGACGCGCCGCCCCCGAGGTGAGGGCCAGCGATCACGCGCACGCGCGCACCCCGGGGGAGAGGCGGGAACGGAGCCAGGGCGCCTGGGGGTTCGGAAGCCTCGTCCCCACTCCTACCTAGAGCTTTGTTTTCCAGGACTGACGTGCTGCCGTCCCCGCAGCCAACAGAGCAGCAAACGGAGGCGTCCAGCGTGGCCGCCGCCGACCATACGACCGCTGACCCTACGACCGAATCTTGGCCGATGTCGCCACCCACCTCCTCTAATATTCAGCCCTAGGTCCCCCCCCCCGTCCCCTCCCACCCTTGTCAGTAAAAGCATCTAGCTTTTTTTCCTCTCTGCGTCTGCTTCAACTTTATTTCCCCCGGCGGGGGGAAGTGCGCGCGGGCTCCGAGAGGGGCGGGAAGTGCGCGCCGGTGGGAGGGGGCGCTGGAAGGATGCGCCCCGCAGCTCCCCGCCGGCGTGGGGCGCTCCGCACCGCACAGGGCTGGCCTCGACCCCTAGCGTCCTTGTCCTCGAGTGGACAGAAGCCAAACTCCAGCCTCGATCAGTTGAAAAAAGTGGCCACGGAAAGTGGTGCCCGGTCCCCTCCCCCACCCCGCGTCCGCTGCGAGGCCAGCGGCCCCAGGACCCGCCTTTTCCATAGTTTGCTTAGCTTCTTGGATGCGCAGCTAAGAGGTTAGCAAAGGAGGGAAATTGAGGCACGCCACGGAAGTTCGGGAACTAGGCTCTGGGGCGAAGGTCATGGTAACTGCAGACAGCGGGTCACAGACCCTACCGTGCAACTCGGATGCCGAACCGGTCTCCAGTCCTGGAGAGGTCCCGCCTTCCCCTAGACAGACGCCACCTCTCGGTTCTCCCCTACCTTCCTCCCTCGCTCCCGTACCCCACCCCGCCGGGCGGCCTCTGTCCTCAGCTCCTCCCCGCCCGGAGGCAGGTGGGTGGAAAAGTGACATCTGGTGTTGTTCCAGAGGCGCCCGGGTCCCCAGCACCCTCCCCTCCACCCCCGCCGCCACGGCCTCGGCCTCGGAGGAGGAGGGGAGGGCGCTCCGCCTGCGTGAGTCAATATTTGCCCCGAGCAAATGGGCGCCCGGACAGGTGTGTGCGTGCGTGCGTGTGCGTGTGTGTGTGTGTGTGTGTGTGTGGTAGGGGCGGGCACTGAACTGGCAGTATAAGAGTGTGCTGAGCCCGGACTCGGGCACAAGCTCCGGGGCGTGGGCTGGGGACGAGGCCAAGCCGGGCTGGGCAGGGTGCAGGGACTTGGAAGGCCGGGCGAAGGGTGGCCGGGAAGGGAGGGGCGGGCCAGGTGTGCACCTGCGACGTGTCAGCCGCCTGTGCGCAGGTGAGGGCGGCGGAGCCCCGAGCGCTCGCTCGGCTCCCTCCCGAGGAACACCGGATCGCCGGCCAAGGGCCACCCACAGGCCCCGGGCCCTCCGCTCCCGCCCCGCGACGAGCCCCTCGCACAAACCGGACCTGAGCGTTTTGTTCGTTCGGCTCGCGTGAGGCTGGGGCGGCTGCTCAGCACCAGTCCCGGGGCCGGCCAGCCAGATCGCCACGCGGGCACCTGCCTGACGCCGCCGCCGCCGCCGCCGCCACCATATGGGTTGCTGCTCTCTGGGGAGATCCGGCTCCCACCCGGCCCCTGACAGCCAGCCACGCCCGCAGACTGCCCGCCGGCTGCGCGGCTCCTGAGCTGGGTCCTGCGGGCCTGGAGGCGGAGGCTGTGGTCCCGGACAGACGGTCTTTTGGAGGTGGAAATCTGGTTTCTAGTCCAGCTCTGTCTCGGCGTCTTCTGTGGCCTTGGGCAAGTCGTTTCCCAGCCTTTTCCATTTGTACAATGAGGAGAGTTACCTGGCCTCAGACAGGAAGAGCTCCCCAGCCTCCATATCCTAGATCCTGGGCTCCTGGCCTTATTTTGAACTTCCTGACAGGAAAAATGGGTGCCTTTCAGTGGTTGTAGCCAAAGGTGTGAGTTATGGGGAATCTAGCTTGGGGCCTCCAGAAAGATCTAAATTCCCCTCTGATCTCTTTGGTGACATCCTGAGATTTCATTTCATGCCACTTCTCCGCCCCCCTTTTTTTCTCAGTCCAAACATGTCTGAGACAGATATTGCAAAGAACCAAGTCAGAGTCCCCAGACACAGGAGCTCACCCGACTTTCCAAAATTCCATAATTCTGGATCCTCTGCCCTCATCTGGCCATGTCCAAGTAGCCCACAGCTCAGGAGTCTGTGGATCGTAAGTCATCGCTCAAACCTGGGGTGGGCCACTCCTTATTTAGTTACCCAAAATTCTGTGACCTGAGGCCCCAGACACCTGCTGGAGGACCCCAGAACTGAGGAGTCCACAAGGCCTGCCTGGCTTTAGGCTGGTCCTGAACTGAATCTGTCCCATGACTCAAGGTAGTTTCTATTCCACCTCTCCAGAATGCATGGTGGTGCTGAGTCAGGCCCAGAGAAGGAGACCAGTTCCAGGTGGGGAGTAGAGGAAGGTTTCTTGAACAGCGATAAGGAGCCTTGGTGTCCCCTTAGGATGGAGGAACATCACATGGGGAACCATACGTGCACTCCCATGGAGGCAGATGTGACCCTAAATGTTCACTCAACTACCTCCCCCCCCCCCACACCTTCAGCTACTCAGAGGCCCCGCAAGATCTTCTGAGTCCCTCTGGGGTAGTAGTCAGATGACCCTGATGTTACCTGTGCTGGTCTAGGGAGAGGGTGGCCTCTTAGTGGAACTTTCCCAGGTGTGAGGGAAGATCTGTAGGCCCCCATCTGGATGTGTGAGGCCCCTATCCTGGCCTCCCTGACCACACAGCTGTTTGACGCTCAGCTGTTCCTTTTAGCCTGGCACTGGCTGGCCGGGCCTAATCAGGTGCTTGTCTTGAAAAGAATCTACTCCCCTCCCCCAATTATGGCAAAAGGCAAGAGCTCCTCTCCTGCTGGGACTCCAGGTCCTGGTGCTGCACAAGCTGGTCTCCTTTTCTACGATTCCCCCAACACATACACACAGGCAACAGTCCTTGGAGGAAGGGTGGCAAGAAAAATGAGGCCACCCAGTGTGCTGGGATCTGCTCTGGCGATAGAAGTTACTGCCTCTTCATCAGGGCCTTTTCCCCCCAGCCCTCCACCCTACCCATCCTGAAGACCCGCATTTCCTGGGTGTCAATAGGGATCTGATCAGTCCTCCACACCCCTCCTCCCCTGAAGGACTGGGGTGGAGCCTCCAGGAGCCTGGCAGGCCTGCAGGTGCTGCGCTGGATGGGAGTGGGGGGAGGGTACTCAGCAGCTGGTGTGCGGGCAGCCCCTCCCCCCCTCACAGCTCCTAGCACAGAGCCTGCTTCCTGTCTTCCCTGTCAGCACCTTAGCTAGGGGAGGGAGCAGGTAGTAAGGGGAACAGAAAAGGGACTGAGCAGTTGACGTGCAGCCTTGGGGAAATGGGACACAGCCTAGGAGAAATAGCAAAACAGTGAGGAGGGAAGGATGAGAAAGAGGCCTAAGTACACAGGGAGGAGAGAGAGGAGGAGACGGTGCAGCTCGAACACGTGAGATGATGCACAAAGTGAGCGCATAGAGCCCGCGAGGCAGCAGACTTCCATCCCCTCAACAGTAAGGGTGAGACCCAAAGGGAGGCCAAAGAAAGAGAGAGCCAGAGAGAAACCTGGAGAAGAGGAACACACACATAATGGTGGAGAACAGGAAGTGGGAACTGCAGAGAGGTGAGGGATTAGAGGCTGGGTAACCAGAGGTGGGAGGCTTGAGGTATGCAGAGGAAGAGGGAGCTGTGAAAACATACTGGGGTGCAGAAATTACCCCCCAATAGAGGATATAGAGGTGGCCTGCAAATGAGGACAGCTGGGGCTGGAAATGGGGTGGAATAAGGGCTATGTTAGAAGATCAGTCTCTTCCCATTAAAAGACAGATTCGTGGCCTGGCTGGATACTGAGGGTTATGAGTGATGAGTATAGATCTGACTCCATCTCTCCCTGCCAGGTCACCGCTGGACAGGCCAACAGCTGGGGCAGCTGCCCTCCCTCCACCCACTCGATGGCTGCCCCAGCCTTGGACTTCTCAGCTTGGAGGCTGCTCAGGTTCTGTGTAAGAGCGGGGAGACTTGCCCGTGGGTGGTGGGGGTTCATACCCAGGTGCTAATCCCCATCCAGCCAAGGCAGTGCCAGAGCCTTGATGACCTTCTTGGAGATTAATCCCCATGGAGACGGCAGCAGCTGCCCCCTCACTCTGGCTAGGCCAGGTGGGTGGCTGGGTGGGGCGGGCAGAGGCTGGAGGGGAGGGGAGGGAGCCTTCCCCAGGTTCTGCTCTAAAGCTAGCGGTGCTGGCAGGCCCCTGCAGGAGCAACAGTCCACTTGTTACTGGCAAAAACCTGAGGCCTCAAGACAGAGAACGAGTAGCTAAAGTGTTGGCCACTTATACAGCCAAGAAAAGCATCAGGAACAGAAGACATCTTCCGTTCCACACCCCAGCATTCGTTCCTGGAGAGCAGAGACCCGAGCAAGAGCAAAAGAGATTTGGGGCACCTGTTCTGACCCCCTCAATCCTAGCTCATGAGCCCAGTGGTTCTTGTAACGTCTGTAGCATTCCGTGGAGAATGCTCTGGTGGCTTCTAGAAGGCAAAGGTGGCAAGGAGGGTACAGATCTGCCATGCTGGCTGCCCTGGGCTCTCCCAATCCAGCCCCAGGGCTAAAGTGGTCATACTTAGCAAATACAACAACTGTTAACAGCCAGTACTTGGTGGATGAATAGTACAGGCCGTTTTGTGTTCTGTGTATGTGTAAATATTCAAAATAGTCTTTGGATAATTATTTTCATTTGCTAGAAGGAAAAATGGAGAAGTAGGGTGCAAAGTCATTCAATTTACAAGCTGAGATGTGACCTCATGCCTACTCTAGGAGCCCTTCAATGCCTGTGTAACTGTGGGGCGTGGGGCACATAAAAGGGCACTGCTCAAGTGTGTCTACATCTCCCACAGTGCCTGGCACATAATACCATCTCACTAAATATTTGAAGAATAAGTTAGTGAGCAAATGTCTATCCACACATAAGCACGATGTTGAGGTGTTCTGTTCTACATGTGAAACACGTAGGCTCGTACCCACATATCCATAACTGTGGGTGACCGTGTTTCCATTTGTCTGTGATCCTGTGTGGTGTTCTCTCCCTGTGAGCAGGCAGTGGTGATGGGAGGCAGCCTGCCGCCCATCTCTCTAGATGGTGGTCATTCTTCAGCACCAGCCAGGGGCAGAGAAGAGGGGCTCTGGGAGACGGGATATGGAAGAGGACAATGGATCTGTGGGGGTTGGGCTCCCTCCTTTGCCAGCCTGAACCAGGCTACTCTTTCTGCACAGAGCTATCTCTGTCTCCCGGGAGACCAGGCTCGCACTTGCCCCAGGGAAGGAGTTCATCTGCCTGTTTCCAGAGCCAGGGTGGGGCAGGGACTGGGGAAGCAGGGCTGGAAAGGAGGGGCTGATGATGGGACCAGGATAGCTGAGGGCACCGTTCACAGAATTTGCATGTTCAGTTTCCAAAGTCCAGATCATTTCCCTGTGAAATGAGAGGAAGAGGCGGGAGCAGGCTACCCTGAGAAGATACTGGCTATCAGCACCTCTAAACTGCCCAGGAGTACTGAGAAGGAAGACTGGGGACTAGGATTCCATCTGGCTCTTCTCTGAGACTTTTCAGGGACTTTACTGGGATGGAGGCCTGTGTGGGAGCTCGGGACTGGCTTTCATTGTAGACTCTACACATCCCCACATGGGAAGAGGGTCTGGTTGGAATCTGGAGAGGCTCACTGAAGGAACTGGGCATGAGTCTATGAGGGTTTCTCTATGGGATCTTCCAGGTTTGTAAGAGATTGGTGTGTAGAATCCTGGTGTGAGGCAGGTTGGGAGTAGGGGTAATGTTCTGGGATTTCTCTGTGGGATCCAAAGGTCCTTATCTTGATAGACTGGATGGACTCCACCTGGGGATTCTCTGAGGTTGCTGAGGTCCCTATGGGATCCTGGGGTGTCTTTGAGATATAGATCTGAGGATGCCAGGGTTTTTCTACTCGATTTCCTACTCCATGCCAGAAGGCTGAGCCTGTGGATTTGGAGCAGGTAGAGATGATGGTGCTGAGCTGGCAAACAAAGCCACCTGGGCATCTATCCTTCAGGAAGCTGAGTACAACTGATCTGGGAAAACAAATAGGAACAGCTGCTGGGGCTGTGAGAGGGTGTGAGGGGAGACGGGCAGGAGCTGGACCAGCTGGATGGGAAAAGGAGGATGGGAGGGGGCCACAGAATAGAGAAGGAATTACCCCATGCGTCCCATTCTGGCACACCAGAGCCCTTCCTGGGCTCTCTCCCTCAATGGCTCCTTCCCATTTTGGGGGACTATGAGACCTAAAGCAGAGAAGGGCGTGGGACCCTGGGAAGGCTTCTGAGCTGGTGGCTCTCAGTTCTGAGAGAACCGGCTGCAGACACACCTAAAAGCCATGGAGCAGTGGATCTGAATACTATTTTCCTAATGAGGAGAATGAGGTATAGAGAAGCGAGAGGCTGGCTAGTATCAGGATTAGAACCTTAGACTCGAAAGGGGCTGGGGCTTCTCACATCTCACTCAAGTGCTAGGCGGTGTCTAATTCTGACCTGCATCTCACTGTGGCCTTCCTCCACCTGCCTTCTCTTAGTGTCTGTCTCTGTCTCTTGCTCTCGCTCTCTCTTTCTCTGTCGCCCTTCTCCCTGTGAAATACTGTTGTCTGACCAATACCCCTTATACTGGAAATGTCCCAGTTCTGAAAACAATAACAAAAACCACCTTGGAACTAACACACCGGGCCAGTATCACAGACAAAGCAAATGCACAATCTGACGCATTTGCTAGCCAGCGAGGCAGCCCTTCCAGACCTCAACACCCCCACCCCCACTCCCTTCACCTCTGTTGTGCAGATTTTCCAGCCAGTGAGGACTGGCTATCTATGCCTCCTGGTGGCCAGCTCTAGAATTGCTGGGTGGAAATGGGAGAAGGAAAACCATGGGACTAACTCTTGCATGTTCACACTTGTGAAACCGAGCAGGGGCTAGGACACCAAGGTCCACAACCGGCTCTTGGCTCAGCCTGTAGCTTGGATTCTTCCTTGTGGTTAGGGTAAAACTATACCCCATTTGTGTTTGTCTAGCCTATTCCCCCCAAGGAACAGTGTGATCAAATCCCTAATCGAATCCATCTAAAGTTGTCCTGACCCATATCCTTCTAACTCGGACTTTGCCCCCTGCCCCTGTAACCTAGAACTTTAAAAGTCAGAAGTTAGTAGGATGACGCCAGGGGCGCTGGAGGCTCATGCCTGTAATCCTAGCTACTCAGGAGGCTGAGATCTTGAGGATTGCCGTTCAAAGCCAGCCCAGGCAGGAAAGACCATCATGAGACTCTTATCTCCAATAAACCACTAGAAAACCGGAAGTGGTGCTGTGGCTCAAGTGGTAGAGCGCTCGCCTTGAGCTGAAGAGCTGAGGGACAGCGCCCAGGCCAAGTTTAAGCCCTCATGACCGACAAAAAAAAAAAAAAAAAGTTAGTAGGATGGACAACCCCCTACTTCCACTGGAGAATTTACTCTGCACCTCTTTCCTACTGACATTTGACTCACACTTGACCATCAATTTGTTTACTTACTTGAGAAGTTTTATTGTGTGCCTATATGTATGAATTTAGCACAGTGCTAGATTTGAGGACAACCATGACAAGGTAACCAGTCCTTGCCCCTGGGAGTGGAGCTTACAGTCTAGCAAGGGAGACATCGGCACACCCATAAACACAGGCTTTTTAATGTCTTGAGCAGGACACCAGGAGGCTGAGATTTGAGGGTTAAGGTTTGAAGACAGCCTGGAGAGGGTATAATAGTTCGTGAGACTCTTACCTCTAATTAATCAGCAAAAAGAAGTGGACTTGTGACTGCATTAGTAGGAAGTGAAAAGATAAAAGAGAGTGCCCAGGTCCTAAATTTACACCCCAGGACTGGCACATGCACAAATCTGTCTTTATGGAATGATAAATGCTAAAGAGAAAACTACATGATGTGGTGTAGCAAGAGTGCCTGGAATTGCTTATCATCCAGGAGGTGACAAAGCTGTTAGCCATGCCAACATCTTACCATTGACATAGCAGGGAATGCGCACCGCAAACCTAAAGGCTCTAAGGAGGGAGTGGGCTTTAAGAACTGGCAGAAAGGATGGCAGACAACAAAGCTACCTTTTCAGGAGCTGGGGTGATATGTGTGGCCAGGGAGCCACAAGACAGTCACAAGACAGCATGGGTGTGGCAGAGCTGTGGCTTTGGATTCAAACTCAGATCTGTTCACTTCTGCACATGCACACGGACCTTTTTGCCCTGTTCTGAAGATTCAGAAGCACCTGGCTCAGAAGAGCAACAAATTATTAGTTCATTTCCTACTCTTCTCTTCACAAGTCCACTGGAATATCCTATGTACGTGCGCACGTGCGTGCGCGCGCACGTGCACACACACACACACACTTTAGAAGAGGTCTTTGTGTCTACTGGACAGCTGCCAGTGGTGGGGAAATTTCTTTCCTGGAGCAATCCCCTGGGGGTCCCTAGCCTTTTCCTTGTATTTGTGTTTTCTCCCTCTCACCACACATGGCACTGTAGTATTGGGACAAGACCTAGGACCTTTGCTTTAAATTTTCATCTGGGCCATCTAGCTGTTGACAACTTTGACCATGTCATGGACCCCTCTGCCCAGGCCTCTGCTTCTCTCTCTCTGGGAAATGCAGAACAGAGACAGAGCAGTGTTGGCATTTAGCTGACACCTCTCATGGAAAGCCTGAACAGAGAGCCTGGTCTAAACTGAGCACTCAGTAGTAAGGGGGTAGCTCTCCGGCCAAGTTAAGACTAGGGCCCTGCATCCTAGACCCTGGCAGCGCCGTGAGTCAGGAGCCAGAGATGGAGATGTTCTCCCCACCAGCCACGGCTCTCCGCTTTGCTTACTATTATTGCTAAACCCAAGGTTGGTGATGAAAGCCTCTCTCCGTTGTTTCTGCGCTTGGCGCCACCTTGCGGCCAGGGCCGACCACCGCCTGACCTCGGGTTCCAGGGCCGGGGAGAACTGGAGAGCCAGCCCCTGGAAGGTAGTTTGGGAAGAAAGGGGTCGCCAGGGGTCCCGATGCATCGATCTTCCAGGGAGAAGAGGAGTGCGAGGTTTGAGGGAGAGGTGTCGGCGGAGGGCCTTCTCTACCTCCGCCCTAGCGTCACCCAAAGAGAGATGAAGAAAGGGGGCGAGGGGATGGGGAGTCTCAGACTTTGGGAAGAACTTCCGCGCGCTGCGCCCAGGAACACGAGGTCGCAGCTGGTCATCGGGGCTGGGCGGCTCAGGCCCGAAAGAAAGGAAGAAAAAGAAAGCGCGGAGTCAGCCGGGGCTGGGCTGGCGCGCGATCTGCGCTTCAGCACTTTCCGTTGTAATCGCCGCCGCCAGGGGCCAGATCGGCGGCGCTGGGAAAGCCCTTGGCTCCCTGGGGCCGGCCCGCTCGGACCGAAGCCGGCCTGCTGAATCAGCTGCCCCCCGCCCCGCGGGTGAGGGAGCGGGGCGGGCGCTCAGCCTGGCTATAAAGCCCCGCGCGCCAGGCTCGCGCGCAGCCTCTCCATTTTCCCTTCCTGGTGCGCTCACACACCCGGTGAATACCCGGGGTAGGGGCGGGGTGGGGCGGGGCGAGATGCGGGAGAGCCCCCGGGCAGCCTGGGGTCGGGAGCCAGGCCTGATCCAGCTGCTGGGGTCCGTCGTACCCAATTGGAGCTGGGCAGGCTTTGGCTAGGTGAGAGCATGGTCCCGCCCTTCCTGTCCCAGCAGCCATGAGCAGCGCCCCCGCGCCGGGCCCGGCGCCCGCGTGCCTCACGCTCTGGGACGAGGAGGACTTCCAGGGTCGTTGCTGTCGGCTGCTGAGCGACTGCGCCAACATCAGCGAGCGCGGGAGCCTGCGCAGGGTGCGCTCGGTCAAGGTGGAAAGCGGCGTGTGAGTGATCCTCCGGCCCAAGCTGGCCTAGCCTGGCCAGGAGCTCGGCTTCCATTCGGGCGAGGGGACTGGGATCTGGAAAGGCGGAGGCTGACTTCCGTCTCTGAAAAGCCCGGAGACAGACTCACCAATGTGGGAAATCCCTCCGAAACTTCCCATCTGTCTGCACAAAAGGTTTTCCGTGTGGTGACCTTGTTCCCCAAAGTTTTTCTCTGAGCAAAGTTAGCTCCTCGCTTCCATTGAACAAAACGGAGGAGGGGGGAACTAGTCTTCTAGAGCCCAGATTGGAGCTCTTGGGAGAACGGAGGCCTGGTTGCTGACACACAGGGCTGGGAGGCCGGGTGCTTCCTTTATGCAGGTTGTCTAAATCCGTGGAGTAGGACAAGCTTGGTTGGATCCTCTTTGTAACCTGAAAATCTTCTTCCAGCCTGGAGGCCCCTCGAAGCTCAGATAACTCAGCCAAATGGCCAGCAGTGGTTGTGGGTGTCTCAAAGGAAGGACTTAGGGTTGGAAAACAAAGAGACTGGGCTTTTTGATGTTTTCATCCACAGCAAACAAGGGGGAGGGAGAGGAAGGAGTGAGGCTGAGCAGATGCCTCCCAGCTCCCCTTCTTCTTTCCCAGATGGGTGGCCTTTGAGTACCCTGACTTCCAGGGACAGCAGTTCATTCTGGAGAAGGGAGACTACCCTCGATGGAGTGCCTGGAGTGGCAGCAGCGGCCACCCCAGCAACCAGCTGCTTTCTTTCCGGCCAGTGCTCTGTGCGGTGAGCACAACCCATTTCCCCTCCTCCTGAGCCTCCTAGCTCCAAGTACCCTAAAGGCTATTTGCCCTGCCCAGGGCATGTCAACAAACTCTTAGATAACTGGTTTACTTACAATTGCTTCCCCCGGAACTAGACAGGTTTCTGAGAATTGTGGTTGTGGGAGCAAAGCCAGTACCCTGGAAGTCAGCACCAAGGACAGTGCTAAGATATGACAGTCTGAAGGGCCCAATGGTCCTTCACACCCACAGCCAGGCCTCGGCCATCCAAGAGCCCTGGGAGGTTGGAGTGGCTGCTGCGAGCCTCATATACAGACAGGTGCAGATATGGGACTCGGAGGGGCAAAGTGACTTCTCAAGGTCACAAGGAAAAGAGACTAGGACTCAGTCTAAGGATCCAGGCTGAGGGGAGTCTCAGTGTATATCTTTGTGTTGGAAAGGAGGACCATTTGTGTTTACTTAGGTATTTGTAAATCATAGGGCTGCAGTAGAGGGCAGAAGGACACAGCCCAGCATCCCAAGAGGCTGAGGATCCCTGCAGGAAGGAGGAAGGCCCTGGTAGTAGGGAAGCCATGATACAACCAATGGGATACTCTGGCCTGTGTGTGCCCTCCAGTACTCCTTAGCTAGGCCTTGCCTTGTGTGTGGGCTGGTGGCTAGTCAATGAGACTCTTAGAGGACTGCCTTGATACAGGGGTCTGACTTCTCACAGGACCTCTGGTCTGGTTTTGTTCTGTTTTGTTCTGAAAAACAGCCTATGTCACAAAATGCCTTCTAGTCCTAACCTGAAAGGGTCACCAGGAACTCTTCAAGTTTCACCAACACAGTCATAGCAGGGGCTAGGTGGAGCCTCTGAGAATCCCAGCTTGCCTGACTTCTGGGGAGATGATGGAGTCAACTCTGGGAGTGTTTGTAGGAGCCAAAGAAGCTGCACCATTTTTTGTTGGGTGGGGATGGGAGAAAACGGGGCTGAGGATGAATCTGTGAGTGTCCCTTTGGAGGACCTGACCACTCCATCCTCTCACCCTTATGCCTCAGAACCACAGTGACAGTCGAGTGACACTGTTTGAAGGAGAAAACTTCCGTGGCTGCAAGTTTGAACTCAATGATGACTACCCGTCACTGCCCTCCATGGGCTGGACCAGCAAGGATGTGGGTTCCATCAAAGTCAGCTCTGGAGCGTGAGTCCTGGCACCCAAACAGGGAGCTCAGAAAGAGCCAGGAGGCAATGTGAACCTTTGTAACCTGCAAAGAAGGTGATGAGGAGAAATGATGGGATGCTAAGAGTCACGGAAGACAGAGGGGGTGTGGAAGAAAGTGAGAGGCTAGAGAGGCCGAAGGACAAAATGGAGAATGATGTGGGGAGGGCGGGGGAGGGGGTGAGAACCTGGGTGGGAGACAGGATGAGGAGAGTGATAGGAACCTGGAACACCAGCCCATCACCTTCCCAGACAGGCAACGCTGGAGCTTGGAAGTTGAGAGCCAAGAAGCAAGGACCTCTAAACGGACATATGTCAGGGTGGGTGCAAAGCCCAATGACCACCTGTTTCCTCACTGACCTAGGTGGGTAGCCTACCAATACCCAGGCTACCGAGGCTACCAGTATGTATTGGAGCAGGACCGGCACAGTGGGGAGTTCCGTACCTATGGTGAATTCGGCACACAGGCCCACACAGGACAGCTGCAGTCCATTCGGAGAGTCCAGCACTAGCTTCCACACCTCCAGTCACCTACCCTAGGGACCCTCAATAAAGGTCCCTGAAACTGCCTGCCCCTCTTAATCTCCTTCATATCTAGCTGTGAGAGTATGTGTGTGTGTGTGTGTGTGTGTGCGCGCGCGCGTGCACGCACGCACGCGTGCATTCCGTGATGCTGGGGATGGAACCCAGGGCCATCAGTACACTAGGTAACCACTCTATCACTGAGCTACACACCCAGCCCTGGTGTCTCTCTGAGTGTTGCTCTCCGGCAACCTGACTCTCTCTCAGGTGCTAGCACCTTTGTCTATCAAGCGTGAACTGGCTTAGACTGGGTGTGGGTAGGCTTCATTAGGGCTGAGAGTTAACAGCTGGTTGTAGTCCTGAGGATCCTGTTAAACACAACCAGTGAACGCCCCTCCTTGTTAAAGGCCCACCAACACAGGCCAGAGGTAACTACAAGCCCAGATGGCATCTTCCATCCTCTAGATGGGTGGATGGACACATCCACACACAATAGAACTGCAGCCTACACACACACTCGAGCCAAGTACATGCCAGATAGAATTCGGTTAACCTGTGACAATGCTCTGTTAACATTCTTCTCTCGTACATAGGCCGCTTTTGGCCTTATCTTCATCCTGATTCCCCATCTCATCAAGGAAGACTACCAGCCTCTTTAAATGGTTGTCTTTCCTCCATTCTCAGGAGAGCAATTACTTGCAGGCTCCACTATCTCTTAGGTCTTTCTAAGAGAGGGGTCTTTGTTTCTATGAGCTCAGTCCCCAGACCCTTTGAATAATAATAACAACAACAACAACCTTCTGATCTTCAACTCCAGCATTTCCAGCCCTTCCTTTCATCTACTCTAAACTATCCACTTGTCATTCTCCTTACCTTTCAGTGAGCTGGAGAGGCTACCCCTTACCACTAACTGACATATGAGCCTGGGTTCAGGGATATGGGGAAGGGCTCTGATCATTGTGATGATGCAGTCCCCAGGAGTCTAGCCAAGCAAAGTTTGGCAGCCTCAGCTCCTTCACCTGTACAGTGGAGCTATTGGTCCCTGCCTTCTGTGCTTGCCTTCTATGTTTTAAGGATTCAATAAAAAGTCCCTGATGCTGGGCGCACCAGTGGCTCATGCCTGTACTCCTAGCTACTCTGGAGGCTGAGATCTGAAGATTGCAGCCAGCCCCAGCAGGAAAGTCCATGAAACTATGATCTCCAATTAACCACCAGAATACCAGAAGTGGTGCTGTGGCTGAAGTGGTAGAGTGCTCATCTTGAGCTGAAGAGCTAAGGGACAGTGTCCAGGCCCAGAGTTCAAGCCCCACATCCGACCCCCCCCCCAAAAAAAAAGTCCTTGATATATCTATGGTGTTATGGAAGAGTAATGGAGCAGTCAGTGTAGGGCCCTACATTCCCCTATTCCCTCATGGGTCTTGGGTTAGGTCAGGGGAATAAGGGACAGAGCTCTAGAGAGGATATGAATTCTTCTTAACACTTGGTGGACTTCTGGGCCCATAGACCCTGTTGCGTTTGATCCTCTGATTATCCTCCATTGTTTATTTCACTAATGAAGAAACTGGGGCTGAGTGATGTCATCCACTTAATTGGTGACAAGATTTGAGTACAGGATTCCTGATGCCAGATTCAGGCTAAGTCAAGGCGGAGCTGAGCTGTGGCTACCAAAAGCTTCAGCTTTAGCAGAATCCCAAGCATCTGTAAGCCCTAAAGGAGCCTAAACCTCCTGGCTGGTCATTCCCTTTGCAAGATGGTAATAATAACTAGAATTAATTGTATATCACCTGTTATAAACACATCACAAGTATCATTGTATGTAAGCTGTACAATTCTCTACACAGGCATTTAGAGCTCCATTTTACAGACAGGGAAAATAAAGTATAATACAGATGTCATGGGACTATCCCAGAAGTCATACAAGTAGAAAACAGGTGAATAGGAGTTGAAGTGGCTTCAGAGCTAGCAGCCTGCCCCCTGCTGCCTCCTTCCACGAGTAGAGAACAGACAAAGGGAAATCAGATATTTCTCCTTCACTGAGCTCCCCTGTTTCCAGGATGGCCTGTGGTTGCTGGGAAAAATCAAGATGGTTTCAGGAGCTGAACAGGGCACTGATCTCTGGGTCTCAGTTCCTCCCTCTGTATGAAGAGAGGGTTGAGCATGATCATATTTGCCATAGCCTTTGCCAGCATGGATCTTTTCAGCTTTTCTGGACCCAAGGGTTAGGTCTGCTCCCCATATCCATCACTGATAGACAGCTAGAATGTGGAGGTCAAAGAGATCAGAATGTTTTCACCCCTTTTCATTCTGGGCAGGCCACTGGTGCCCAGCAATATGACATGAAGGAAGTAGAGAGGAGCACCTTTCCACACAGAGATTATGGCCAATACCCACCCTTTCCAGCACTTGAGTACTCTACCAGGCTGGGCACAAAGCCTGAGCTATAGACCTTTGCTCTGAAGAGAACTGTAGTGTCTGGGTAGAATCCTCCTCCTCCAGAGCATCTATCTTCTGTCTCAGCCTTCTGCTGAGAGTATTGAGTTAGTGGACCTCCGTGCCATCTCCTTGTTTTCAATCATTAGTGATTGGAAAGAAGCAGTAATGCAGCACAGGAGAAGGATTGGAATCTTGGTCCCCAACCTCAAGGCTCTCTCCTGTGGTACTGAGTTTGATCCCCTGGAAAATCTTAACTTCTATCTTTGCTCCCACTGGACTCCATGTTGGGATCCTGAATCCTCCATGCTTTTCCCTCTAGGATCCTCAGAGGTCCTGGGACTCTTCCCATATGCTTCCCCCAAAAGTGTACTTTCTGGCTCCTTCTCACCCTTCACCAGCAAAGACCAGACTCTCAAAGTTAGGGCAAATGAAGGTAGATTGGGGCCCGTGGAACCTCAGGAGTAGGACTTTGCAGCTTCCTTCAAATAGCAGAGCCCAGGATCAGGATTCTGCTAGAAATCTGCCCATTCTCAGGCCCCTCAGCCCTGGGTACAGGTGAGAGGGACACCACAGATGCCTCACCAGTGTCTATAGAGGGACAGGTGTTCAGCTACCATCCTTCCTTAGTTTGCTTCTGCAGACCCAGAGAGTCCACAGGTTCCCAGAGACCCTCATCCACCTGGGAGCCGCCTCTGCTTCTTTGTATGAGTTAGAAAAAGCCATGTACAGTACGTAACCCTGGAACTCCACCAGCATGAGAGTGCTAGGGGTGGGGTGGGGGCAGACTAGGAAGACAATGAGAGAGAGAGAGAGCACTGTAGGGAAGATGAAGGAATCAGGAGTCTATCCATCTCTCAGTGTCTCTGGAAGGACTACAAGAGTAGGAGGAAAATATGACAAAACCTGGAAGACCCGAAAGACCTAGAAAGAGGGCGGGGAAGGAGAGAAGGAGCAATCTACAAGTAGCCAGGGGTGATGCCTGGAGCCCTTCGGCTTGGGGGCCATAGGGAGACAGGAAACCGCTGAAAGCTTGGGGACTCGGGTCTCTAGGGAGGAGCAGAGTGGGAGACGTGGAGGGAGAAGGCTGGGGTGGGGGGAGGATAAGCCGAGATAAAAGGAGCGACGGCTGCTGGGCCGGGAGCTCAGCGACAGGAGAGAGGGAGGGAAGCGGAAATTTAAAAGTGAAGATGCAGATAACGCAGCCTGGAGACGGGAACCGGGTGGGAGTGGGGGGGGGGGGGAGGGAGGAGTGAGTGATGGAGAGGGGCGGGAGCGGGTTGGAAGGAGAGCTCTGGGGAAGGGGCCGTGGTCTCCGGAGTCCGAAGTGGGGCCTGGTTCCCCCACCCACCCACCCCGCCGCCCCATCACTGTGTGCAGAATCAGGGAGGCAGAAAAGAAATGCGCTCCTGGCCCCGACCGGAGCGCGCGGCGCTCCCCCGCCCTCGCGCCCCGTCTCCCGGGCGGCGGGGCGCGGGGGGCTGCCGGGTGCGCTTGGCTGTCGCACGGCGCGCTGGAGACTTTATTGCGATGGCAAGATAAGAGGGGCGGGGGCGGGGTCCGGGGGGCCGAGGCGGCCGCACTTTAATTAAAACGGAAATTGCGGCCCCTGCCCGCGCGGGGACCGGAGGGTTCCAAGTCGCCCTGTAGCTGTGAGCAAAGCTCCAGGACCACCCCCCCTCACCATCCCTCGTCGTCCCCCCCCTCCCCGCCACACCCGGGCTGCCCCCTCCCGCCAGGCCCTGCTGGACCCGGCGCCGTCTTCTCCTCCCCGTCACCCGAGGTAGCCTGGGGCGGAGATCGGTGCCCCGAAGCGCAAAGCCTGACGCGCCCCCCCCCCGATTGTCCCCCCCCATCTCCCACCGCCCAGTCCCCGGCAGCGATGAGACAGAGCGGCGCCTCCCAGCCCCTGCTGATCAACATGTACCTGCCAGGTACCAGGGACCAGCCCGGGGCTGGAGGTTGCCGGGCCCGGGGCGGGAAGTCTAGGCTAGGGCATGGGGAAGGAAGGGGGCTCGGGGATCCGAAGGAAGGGGGTGCGATTCGGGGATGAGGGGAGGCGCAGATGGTAATTTTAGGGCGTGTAGGGAATCAAAGGCGTCCGGAAAGCTGGGGGGGGGGGGTTCACTGTGGAGTCTCGAGACTCTGAAGGAAAGAAGAGTCGGACGCTGAGGGCAGGGCCCCGGGACCCAAAAGAGCCTGGTGGAAGCAGAAGGGTCTCCCGGCGTGCAGGAGAGATCTGTCCGTGCCCAGCCACGCTGTGGTCCGCCGGGCATCGCCTCTGCGCCGGGTCAGCTCCTCACCTTGGTCGTCCGAGCGCGTTCGTGTCGGCCGGGTCCTCCAAGCGCCCTCTTCTTGTCTTCGAGGGGCTCTGCTCGCTCAGGTTCGACTGGCGCGCGCTCCTCGCGGGGCTTTATAAGGCTCCAGTCGGCCCCTTCCGAAAGCGGATTTCCTTTTTCCTGGACGCGTTTCCTGACTTGGGCGCTGCGGAGGGGCTCTGCGCCGCGCGCGCCGCCTCGGCCCGGCTCCGGGAGGAGGAGCTGGGTGCCGCCCGGGCCCCCAGAACACCGCAGCCCCCGAGAGACTTGGCTCAGGGCCTTTTTTCGGTCAAGTCCTCAACTTCCGCTGAGATCTGCCTGACTCTTTTCTTCTGCTGCCACAGATCCCGTCGGAGACGGTCTCTTCAAGGAAGGGAAGAGCCCGAGCTGGGGGCCGCTGAGCCCAGCGGTGCAGAAAGGTGAGCAGGTCAGAACACCGGGCAGGATGGGTGTCGTCGCCACTGGACAGAGGGTAGAAGCGATGTGTACTCGTAGGTTCTCGGAAAGCATGGCTCGGTTGTGGAGAGGCCTGGGGGAGCCATTCATTTAGTCTTTGGCATCTTCTGTGTACCAGGGACTGCTTGCTGGCAAGGGCAGACGGAAAGGATACTGGCCCGCGGTGGTGTGTGGGTTTTCTGAGCTGTGGAGCCAGGGGCTGGGGGGGATGGGGGGGAATTGATGTCCTTTTGCAACTGGCCGCTGGGGCACAAGGTTGCAGCATTCTCAGGCAAGAGGACTGGGAGAAATTCTCCTCAGTCATGCCGACTGCCAGCTTCACCTGCCTGAGCCTGATGGTGCCCAGCATCCCTGCCCACCAAGTCTCAGGGAAATGATGACTGATTGTCAGGTTTGCTGCTGTGCTGAGCAGGTCAACTGATTGCTCTGTTGGCTGTTGGCTCTCTCAGGCAACTCATCCACAGTTCCCAGTCCGGTTGATACTCTAAATCTTACAAGGGTACAGAAACCACAACACACACACACACTGTTGGTAACTGCTTGTTCTATACAAAAAGAGAACATGATGCTCAATGGAGCTTCGAAAACCTCTGCCACTCCCACCCAAACAGCATGGGGTACAGGTCTTTAACCCAAACCATCTTGTCTTCCTGATCCTCCTGCTGGTGACCTGGTGCTCACACTGGGCTGGCTTAAAGAAACCAGGATTGAAATTGTAGGGAAGACAGTTTCTGAGTTCTGAGGAAAGGTTGACTCCAGAAGGAGCTCCCCGGACTGGATTTTGAGGCAGTAATCATACAGATTGGAGAAAATTCCGTTTTGTTCTAAAAAGGAGATAATTGCATCACGATTTTTCATTGCTTGTGGCTGCACACCGGAGAATGGAATTCTGGGGCCAACATCCTCACTATCTTCATACCTAGGGAAAGGCATGCCACCTCCTAGCCACCGAAATTTGGAGGGAAACTAGCCAAAACCAGAAACTAATAAGCAGACCCCCTTTCCAGTCTGAACCCCCCTTCTCAGAGCTGTCCGACATCCCCAGGGGATTAGGGCACGGTTCCCTGCAGGAAATCCCGCCTCTTGAGAAGCTGAACCTGGGTGAACCTAGGGATCGGCCCACACGAAGGCACTGGAAAAGGGAACCTTCCAGAGTTTGATATACAAGGCCTCAGTCCTCACCTCAGGCCGGCTTAGTCTTGTTTAGGCCTGTTTAAGCCTTTGGATGCCAGCCTGGACCTGGTTACAGTAGTGCGGAGGGGCATATGTCGTCTTGTTCACTTGTCTCTTCCTTTCTGGGTCACTGGTGGTCCAGACAGGGCTCTTCCTCCCCGCCCTGCAGACCAACCTGCAAGAGACTGCCGTGTGCGGTTATGCAATGCTCTGCCCTGGATGCAGACCTGGGAGAAAGGGGCTGCAGCCTCCCCACACAGGAGACAACAACACGTCCCGGGGCCTAGGTTCTCCTAAGAGGGAGTTGAGTTTCTATTGTGCAAAAAGCTCCCGGCGGCCTGGGAACCGTTCGGCCGATCCACCCCGCCCCTGCGGCCGCTCCAGCTGCGGAACCTCTGGCCGCGCCCTCGCCCTCCCCGCGGTCGGGTCCCGCCGGGTCGGGTTGGTTTTTGTTTTCCCAAATCACCGCTTTCTTCCGGGCGCGCGCGGCTGACCGCCCCTTCCCCCCCCCCCCCCCCCCCCCCACAGGCAGCGGGCAGATCCAGCTGTGGCAGTTTCTGCTGGAGCTGCTGGCAGACCGCGCGAACGCCGGCTGCATCGCGTGGGAGGGAGGCCACGGCGAGTTCAAGCTCACCGACCCGGACGAGGTGGCGCGGCGCTGGGGCGAGCGCAAGAGCAAGCCCAACATGAACTACGACAAGCTGAGCCGCGCGCTGCGCTACTACTACGACAAGAACATCATGAGCAAGGTGCACGGCAAGCGCTACGCCTACCGCTTCGACTTCCAGGGCCTGGCCCAGGCCTGCCAGCCGCCGCCCGCGCACGCCCACGCCGCCGCGGCCGCGGCTGCAGCCGCCGCCGCCGCCCAGGACGGCGCGCTCTACAAGCTGCCCGCCGGCCTCGCCCCCCTGCCCTTCCCCGGCCTCTCCAAACTCAACCTCATGGCCGCCTCGGCCGGCGTCGCGCCCACGGGATTCTCCTACTGGCCGGGCCCCAATCCCGCGGCCACTGCCGCCGCCGCCGCCACCGCCGCCCTCTACCCCAGCCCCGGCTTGCAGCCCCCGCCCGGGCCCTTCGGCGCTGTGGCCGCAGCCTCACACTTGGGGGGTCATTACCACTAGACGGGGCGGTGGCTGGGGGAATCGCGCGCACACCCACACACCCAGAGCCGTGTGCAAACCCGTGCACATCCCGGGGAGGCAGCCGGAGCTTCCTCCACTCTCCTCCCACCTCCCCCGACGTAATTTCAGCCCAGATTTCACTCCACGGCCCCAGAGAGACGGGACCAAAAACCTCTGGGGTCTTCCATTAAATAGTAGGTTTGCCCCTACCTCAACTCTGACCCCCTCACACACACGCACACGCACACGCGTGTGACCCTCTTTAATTTTTCTCTTCTAGGTCTCCACACCCTGGAAGGGCGTTCCCAGTCCTCTTTTTCTTTCCTTCGCCTGCCCCTCCTAGAAACTCCCTCCATGGTGACCCCTCTTTTCCTGATTCCAGGTCTTCCTCTCCCACTCCCAAACACGGATCTGCCCCAAATCCCAACGTCTGGAGACCTCTAATATATTTTTCTCTCTAGGACACGAACAGACTCTCGCCTCTCCTTCCTCTCCGTCCTCCCAGCCCCATTAAAGCTCCCTAGCGCCCCGCTGCCTCCTCTCTGTTCATTGCCGCACCAGGAACCTTTTCAGGGGGCCAGGTGGAAGGTCAGCCAAGCGCAGGGAAAGATCCAGAGAAGGGGAGGGGTGCAATCCCGACGGGGCGCCGCTGGGCTGGTGTGAGAAGCCCCCTGGAGGGTGGGCTTTGTGGGGGAAGGAAGCGTCCGCGCACCCCCTGCCCCATCTCGACGAGCGCCTCATCTCCTTTGATCTTAGCTCATCCTACTCCCCTCGTCTCACCCCACCTCCATCCACCTGTCATCTGTGCCCCATCTCCACCTTCCATCAGCAACTCCCTTTCCACGTTTCCGCACCTTCAGATCTTTCCCTGCTTTCCACCTCTTTCCCAGCCATTCTCCCTTCTTCTTCCGACCTCTCCCTCTCACCATGAGCCTCTGCCCCACGAGAGCCACAGCTATCTTGTCTCTGGATCTTCCGTCCCAACTTCAGAGGAGACCGGGCTTCTGCGCCCGCGGCTCGGGCCAGCGCGCGCGGCTGCACTCGCCTCCTCGCGGGTGGAGCGCGCCCTCTTCTGGTCGGAAGCGCGTAAGTCAGGGCTACACCGGAGCCACGGAGACTCGGGGCGCCGCGTGGTGGAACCTCATGGGTCGCGCAAGACGAAGGAGGAGAACTAGGTGTCCCCAGACTTGGGTTAGATTTCCGAGAGGAGGGATAAAGGAACCCTGTGGACCTTCACCCCATCCGGCTTTGGAAAGTGTGGGACGTGGGTGGAGTGGGTCACTCTGACCCGGCCTTTTCACTACCTAGAGGGCTTTCTGAATATTGTTTCCTGATGCTGTCAAAATTGTGCCTGCCCCCAAACCTAACTGGAAAGCACCCGTATAGACCTTCCCTTGGACCAAAACAATCCTGCGAGGCACTCAAGCTACAACCCAAAGGAAGTCCCTGGCTCTCCTTTGTTATGTTTTATTTTGCCTGGGTTTGGGGTTTTCTTTTTCTTTTTTACCCTGAAATACTTCTGGACCAAAGGCTCCCTCTAATGGGCGGGAGGATGCCCTGCGCCTGTGCATGGCTGAGATTTCCTGTCCTTTGGGCAAGAAGAGGAAAACTAGACACCTCTGTGTGTGGGGTAGGCCTACGTGCCCTTTTCCAAGAGAACGCATAAATACCCAGTTTTAAATCTAGGGAAAAGAGCCTTTATTCATGTTTATTTTATCTTTCACTTGGTTCTGTTTCTCCAAATAACATACTTAGTGTAGAAAATCCAGTTGGGTATTGTGGTACACACCTGTACTTCCAGCACTGGGGAAACCGAGGCAATTTGAGGCTATCCTGGGCTACATAGCTACATAGCAAGAGCTTGACTCAAAAACAACAAAGACCGAAAAATAAACACATAAAGATTCTATTAAATATAGTTTAGATGAAGAATGTAATGAGGCATAAGAGAAAAAAATGACCTGCAGTTCCACAGAGGACACTGTTGACAACTGTCATATATCCTTCTTGTCCTCTGTACTTAAAAAAAATCTAAACATGGCATCAATCGCTCACGCCTGTAATCCAAGCTACTCAGGAGGCTGAGATCTGAGTATTACATTTAAAGCCAGCCTGGCAGTGAAGTTTGTGAGACAAATTTTTATCTCCAATCAGCTACCAAAAAAAAAATAGATCTGTGGCTCAAGTGGTAGAGCACTAGCCTTGAGCAAGAAAGCTAAGACACAATGATTGGGCCCCAAGTTCAAGCCCTAGTACTGACACACACACACACACACACACACACACACACACACACACACACACAGAGTCTAATGATACTGTACCTTCATCACCTAACATTATTGCATTAACATGTCCTTGTGTCCTCATGGGATGGAGAATGGGCTTAGGTGGTCCATAAAGTACTTAAGAGAGGTGGCATCTGGCTTGCTGATGGCTCAGTGACTGCATAGATGGACGCAAGACCTCTTTATAGCCCTGTTTGCAGGGAAGGAGCAGATTGGAGGAGACAGCCAAGATCTAGGAAGATTTGGGCTGCTAAGAATTACAGACTGAATGTAATGAGATAAAATTTCCTAGCAAAAGAGGTGAGAGGCCCTGTTATCAGACCTTTAAATGAAACCACCAGAGGCCAGAGTAGAGTCTTGGCAAGGCTCTTGTAGCCAGAGCACGAGAGGAAAGTAGAGGTGTCAGGCAATGCAGGAATGTAGAAAAGTCATGGTTTGGCCAGGCTCTAACGGCTCACGCCTGTGATCCTAGCTACTCAGGAGGCTGAGATCTGAGGATTATGCTTCAAAGCTAGCCTGGACAGAAAAGTCTGTGAGACTCTTATGTCCAATTAACCACCAGAAAACCGGAAGTGGCGCTGTGACACAAAGTGGTAGAGTGCTAGCCTTGTGCAAAAGAACTCAAGGACAGTGCCCCGGTTCTGAGTTCAAGTTCCACAACTGACAAAAGAAAAGTCATGATCTGAAGGTGCATTGACACAATGGTGACACCCAGGAGGGAGGAATAATTTTGCCCCAGAAGCATTGGACACAAGGTCAGATAAAATCATCAGGAGACAAACAAGAGACAGAGTAATAGACCCAGAGGGATGAGGAAGGACTCTGAGACATGAACAATTTGAGACAATTGTCTTAGAAATGGACTGGGGACAGGGCACGAGGAGCTGTCCTCATTTATTCAGAGCCATCTGGAGGGACAGCATCTGGAGGTGATCGGGCAGCACTGGAACAGGTGCTTGGAAGCTACAGACTGATGTGACCTTGATCTGCCAAATCAGGAGAGTTTTCAGTCAAACTAGAGGGTTTGACAGCAGCGGAAAGGGATGAGGTAACATCTCTAAGGTCTCAAGGTGAGTGAGTTGGTGAGCAGCTGGAGGAGTTATTCCATTAAGAGGTCTTCTCGCGGGCTGGGAAGGTGGCTCAGTGGTAGAGGCTTGCCTTGCATGCCTGAGGCCCTGGGTTCAATTCCTCAGCACCACATAAGCAAAAAGAAAAAAAGCCAGAAGTGACGCTGTGGCTCAAGTGGTAGAGCGCTAGCCTTGAGCTGAAGAGCTGAGGGACAGCGCCCAGGCCCAGAGTTCAGGCCCCATGACTGGATCCCCTCCCCCCAAAAAAAGAGGTCTTCTCACTTAGGTAAACTCATCCTAAAAGTTCACAGACCGGCTCCCTCCCTTGCCCATTCTTTCCTTGACACATAGCTAGTTTGGGAGGCTAAATCATAGGACTGGGAACCAGAAAACTTGAGTCCCAGTCACAGCGTGACAACTACCTTGCTGCATGACCTTCAGAGAATCCCATCTTTTTCTGGGATTCCATTCTCATCTCATTCAACTAATGAGGCTAGAGCAAAGATTTGTGATCTCTGTTCTCTGGATCCTCAGGGCTTTTCTTGGTCTCTGTTCCAGAACCAATAAGAGTTGGAAAATATCTGTCCAGGGTAATTCTGTAAGATCAAGTCCAGCCGCAGCATCTCAACCACCTCAGCTCTGGTAATTCCCCTACTGTTGTAATGTGTCCAAACTTGAGGTTACCATATCCCCAGTGTGACTGCTGAGCCTAATCCCTGAAAAAGATACACTCTTGCAATGCTGGGAGTAGAGCGCAGGACTGGTAGGTGGTAGCCAGCACTCTACCACTGTGCTACATCCTTAGTCCCAAGAAGAGTCTCTTTCCCACACCTAGCTTCCTGAAAATCCAGATCTGTCCTTAATGCTTGGCCCTCCAAAGTGTTGGTCTATCATTGATTCTTCCAATCTAGGTGCTAATAGTCCCTCAAGTTCTGAGCCTTCCTCTATCATCACCCAATTCATGTTACTGATAAAAATATACGGTCCATTCTCCAATCCTTCCTTTGCCATTAGCTTGTAGTACAGAGTTTACAGAATGCTTTCACATCCATTGTTTTGTTGATCCCTCCAATGTTAGGTTGGAGCTGAGCACCTGTAATCCTAGCTACTCAGGATGCTTGAGATCTGAGAATCATCACGGTTTGAAGCCAGCCTAGGCAAGAAAGTCCGTGAGACTCGTCTCTCAAATTAACTACAAAAACAACAAACAAAAAACAAAGTGGAGCTGTAGCTCAAGTGGTAGAACACTAGCCTTAAACCAAAACAAAATAAAAAAAAGCTCAGAGACATCACTCAAGCCCTGAGTTCAAGCCTCAGGACTGGCAAAAAACCAAGTTAGGTTGGACAACATGTCCAGTATGACTTCATCTACCTGGAGGGTAAATACACCAAGATCCATGCTGTGAAATGACTTGGCCAAGGTTTGGGGGCTTGTTCTAGGAACTATGTCATCTGTTTCCTTTACCAAACCATTTCCCATTCCTCTGGGTGACTTCATCGTCCCAAGCCACCTTAAGTAATCCTGATTTTAGGAGTCCTGTGCAGACACACCCACCCATGGGTCATCTTGGTTTTAGGAGTCCTGTGCAGGTACACCCACCCATGTCTCCTCCAGTAACGTGTGCTTTGTGTGCCTCAGCTCTCCCCCATCAGC